GTGACACAAAGCTAGATGAGTTTACTGTTACATGTCAATAGGAAACACAGCAAGTAAAACTTCAGCAAGAGCACTTCACTCATGGGCTTTATTGAAGTATTGGGTTATTGGGTTTGCATTGTCCATGGCTCTGAGACATGGTCCTCCAGCGTGTTTGTAGTCTTCTACTGCTCTCCTCCTGGGGGAACATGCCCGTAGGTGCCTCAACTGGCTCCTCTACACGTGGAGAAGCAGTCTACTCAGAGCTGTTCCAGTGTGACTGACCTCCACATGCTATCTGGGAGCAGCGGCTCTAGTCCGAGCTCCCTCTATATGTGGAATACGATTGTGAACTTCTTGCTGGGAGGCATTACTCACTCATCCATATGCATTTGATCTGGCTAAAATATCAAGTAAGCTAACATCTTCCCATTTTTGCTGTTGCAAGATGTGGTCGGCTGAGAAACCAAAAGCAAAACTTAAAGAAGCTATACCCGATTTTTTTTCTAAGTAGTTCATAAAAATGCTTTTTACTACATACAAGTTGTATCATAATACATAATTTAATTGAAAACTTGAGGTCATTGATTCCACTGTGTATGAAATTCAGGCAGTGAAAAGTGCTGAGTAGAGTCTGAGCGGGCCGCTCGTTCTCCTCCGCTCACAGAACGAGCAGCGACCGGCCTGCGTCCTCTAGCCCCTACAGCGCTGCGCAACACCAGGGCTTCGACTTCAAAATTCGAATATAATTCTAAAATAAAAAATATATACATATTTGAACAAATATTAGACAACCCTTATAATTAGAAATGTATTTAATGACTGCAAATAAAATAGTTAGCTCCCAAAGGTTTCACCGGGACGTGCTAGGCAGGTAACAGCTAAGCTAGCTAGCTGTTTCATGGTAACTTCCGGGTTTTTCGCGATCGCTTTTTGTCACTTTAAAACAGTATTTTTGTCATGAAAACGTTGACAGCAAATTCTGAAATCGTCCGTGCATGTGTGTTAAGGATGTATCTGTATACTGTATTGTCCGATTGACGTTTAATGGTGTTGATTGATTGATATGTATTTGTTTATTGAGCGTGGCTAGCTCCGCTAGCTTCTCTACACAGACAAGTGTGCAGAGAAACTGCAGTCTAGTGACAGGCGCTGATAGCTTGTTGTACTTGCAAAGTAATGGCAGTATTTTACACACCTGAATTACAAACAGAGATTGCATTGGGGCTGCGGTCATTATTGATTTGAGAGTTCTGTTATCAAGAAAAAATGATCGGTAGAATTGCATTCAAGTCAATGGAGTGTTCTACTGCTGCTGTGAGGAGCTGTATAATAAATTATAATTAAATATTAGAATATATTCTAATGTTTAAATTAATACATCCGGACGCGAAACGTATTCTTTTACTTATATATTGTGTTAGCAGTGCATTGCTTTAGTGCCATTTCATCAGTGATTGTTGCACAGCTTACAAGTTGCGCTAATGCTAATGTTAGCATATGTATCAGATCGCAAATAAAACTAGGTGGCTCCGTGTTATGAGAGCGTAGGGGAAATGAGAAGCCTGTGAGCGAGCTGGGGGGCGGTGCTAAACATTCAAACATTGCAGAAATGGGTATAGCGCCTTTAACTTATCTTAGTGAACCATTCTGAAGTTGTAAGTGACATATAAAGGCCCAACTTAGGCTGATCTCTCCAATGTCTTATAATGTATAGTTGAATAAATAATTTTCAATTCATTTTATTTTTGTATTGCCCTAAATCACAAAGTTATCGATTCACCAATACAGATCAGAGAATCCTACAGTTCAAACATAGGAAATGTGATAGTTACATACACATAGGAGCCATTGGCCCATAGGGAGCAGATGGCCAATGTTCATAAATGTCTTTATATGTCCTGGATTACCACCACTGTGCTCAAACCCTTTTGCATCAGCAAGGAACAATCCCAAAACCCTGTGGGAAAAAGTGAGAAACATTGATAGAGGATTACACTCCCACATACGAACAGGATGCAGATCCACTCTGAGGTGAACAAGGACGAGGTCATGGATTGTAGGACCAAGGGGGTTCCCAGGCCTCATAATCTGCTATTATGGCCTAAACATACCAATCTGTTGGAAGGATGTGTATTCTGTATGCTTGAAAACTCAACAATTGTCAACACTTAATTTAGTGAAAAACAAAGAGATGTGTAGTTAAATCATGAGACACAAAGACACTGCATATTTGGTTTTATTGAAGAGAAAAGATATGAATTGGTAGCCTGTTTTAAGGCACCTTCAAATGTACAACAAAAGCTGAACCATATATTTATTATCCAGAATACAAAAATACACATCTTGGTGACTCCAAATTGTAATAAATAGCTATAACCATGCATTCTAACCATAAAAAGGCACAGAGAACAGTCAATTAGTAGTCATAATAATGGAAAAACTACCAAAATTCATCCAGATAATATTACAATTGACAGGTGTAACAATATATTCCAAATGTGAAAAACACAAGTCACATAATATCATTAAAACTTACACAATAAATATGTCAAAATTGTTGATACCTTTATAGATATTCTTACAGATTGAAACTGTGCCATTGTAAACATAATGTAAACAAATGAAACTCACTTTTCTCCCACCATTTTAGGACATATCTCAAATACTAAAATCTATCTGTAGCTATCTCGTCCTGTAGAGAATCTTGCATGAGGGTAATTGGTTTCTGGAAAAAAACAGGCAGTTTGCAGCATTATTTACAGACCCGGGATGTTTGGTGGCTACCTTAACTACGTATAAAAAGCTCCCCAAAAAGACTCCGACACTCTGGCAGACATTGAACATGTAAAAATAAAAAAAATAAAAAAGGATCAGAATATTAATTTGGAATGACGTTTGGCAGGTGGAGAATAAGCTAAAACAAGGCATCACGCTACCCATTGCTTCACATAAAGCACAAACTTAAAAAGGCTCCTCAGTCTTTAATCCAGGGCAAGAAAAGGCATTAAATGTAATGATAAAAAAACGACCTCCACAAAATCAGAAGTCACATTTGTATGAGACTAAATCGTTTTCAGCTCTCTGATAAATAGCAGAATGACACATTAAAGCGTTATAATGCTCTCTATTAGTCTGTTATTGAAATTACAAAACTACTCTGACCTGAGTCTTATAAAAGGAAGCGTTGGTTATTAAACTACTTGTAAGAAATTCAAAGCTAAAGAGTGACTACATTACATATAGTATTCAAAAGCAGAGCTAGTGACTGCAAAACAGTATAGGCTGATATAGGAGCACTGAAGAGTACCAGCGAAACCACCACTGCTCTCTCATCGATACGTACAAAAGGCTTAGAAACTGAAAATAGTACATATTAAGACAACAGTCAAGTCTGCCCTCGCATCCCGCACACTAATATTAGTGTTTTATCTTGGAAGCACAGAGAGAAACTACATATTAGTGAATGACTGGAAGAAATCTGTACTTGATATGAAAATCGGTCTGTTTAGGGGCTTCATTCTAAATCTTTACGAGCTTGAGTACAAAACTTTTCCCCCATTGAGAAATTTCAGAAAGCTGCAAAGACAGTATCAAAACAATAATCAAATATTGCACCATTATGAAAATACACAGCATAATAATGTACAATATTAGAACCACTTCAACAACACATGACTGCAATGATGCAATACACACACGCGATCAAACATGTAAGCAGTTCACAATGCATGCTATGTATCATAGAACAAACGCGTCAACACTTACAAACGTTTGCATACACTGGGCCTGGGGTACTGTATATACAGTGCAAATATATTTCCTCTACATATATAAACTATGATGAAATATACCCTGTAAACCCACCAGTCGAAATTAGTGTTTTACCCATGTTGTTTGAAGAAAAAGCTGCACTTGGACAACACAATGCAAGATGCAAGTCAACTGCTGTATTAGATACTCAAACACTATACATCTAAATATACTTAGTTATTATTCATTTGTGTTAAATACTGTTACGAACAGTAAAAAACAGTCTGAGTGAACTGAAAATTCTGTCATGAAATGTATGTTTTAACTTGCATAATGCAAGGGGTAAAAGTGCTTTAAGTATTCCTTAAACATTCCTATAGTAATCACTGTTGGTTAGATTCCAACTATTTCACCACTGCTATACTTTCCCCAAACACGACTCAATCCCTGCCTGATGGAATAACACTTTGGGCCGACTGGCCTGTTGAAGAAAGAGTGGCTTTGTGATCAAACTGACATTCACTTTGGTACAGATACTCACATCCAACTGAGATGCGTCAGACAAAATATACTTGCAAACAAACTGCTAAAACATGTCTACAAAAACATTTTCCAAGTAATCTGTTATGTGGCACTTGACATAGAACTTTGACACACTTTTGTCATGCAAACAAAAGATTAAAGCTTAAGACTGAAGAACAGATGGGGCTGTCAGTAGTAACGTATGGCATCGTGTAATACTTAGATTATACAAAAAAATATTTTTCAAGTGTTTGCTGCACTTAAAATCAAGTCACTAATCATGCACTTAAACATATTGACTATTGCATGCAGCCCAAGTATCCCACTGCGTCAGACAGCGCCCTCTGGACAGGCGTGTCACCAAAACCTGCATAAAATCAACTTCAAAACTAGAAAGAATGTGAAGGATATATTTCACACAGGGCCTAAATGAAAGTACATCAGGGACACTCCTGGAAGTCTTGCTCTTGCTACTGTGGTGTTAAACAACACACTGTCTGCTCGGAATGGTTTGTTGCATAACTGAAGTTCTATGAATGGCTTATTATACAGTATGTTTTGGAGATCTGCAACTTTTCTTTACTAAACCATTCCTGTTCATTTTGGCACAAAGCAGAAAAACACAAATCTTTTTGTTCATTGTTTTACAACAGCTGTCACCACAGGCCATGACTTCTGCTCACAATGTCCACTCAGGTTGGGGAACCCTTCACTTGGGCGCCCTCTGCTGGAGCTTCTGCTCAGGTTTACAGGTCGATCATGGAGGTCTTGGCCAGGTCTTTAGTTCCCTGCAGAATTCTCTTCATATGACCCACTTTCGATATCCCCAGGTCCTAAAAGGGGGCAAGCACATCACTTCAGAGTAAAAAACAACAGCTGTTCTTCGCTGCTGATAAAAGAATCATGGTTATGTTATTTGAAACAAAACATCACACGTTCATGGTACTGTAAGTCATTTCTAGTAATTTAAGTTGTATTTGAGTTGATGTTTATGTTGTATCTAATTGAAAATCAACATACACAAGCTCATACCTTTAAGAGCATTATAAGTACATCTCTAGCTCTTGCCTCACATACCTTTGCCTGTGTTAAGATGACATACAGCCCTGACTATGAAACCCTCCCCTTCTAATGGTGTTAGTCATTTGACCAAGCAGCAATAGAAAAGCCAAGCAGAGCAATGCAACACAAGAATTCACACACCAAAGTCTTCATGGGTGGACAGAGAGAAAAGTGATTGAAGGTCCATACACTACACCACAATCTGTACGTACCTTTAGGTCCCGCCTTTCCAGATGCAGCAGCTCTGACCCGCGGATGTCGTGGCGAATGAAGGTTTCTCTGTACTCTCCCAGGCTCAGCTGCTCCAGCCAGATGCCAACCTCCTCTGTGCTCCATCTCTCCACTGTGCATGCACCAGCAGACGCACATACATACGCACGCACACACACAGAGAGGGTAGAGAGAAGAGAGGCTCACACATCCACACTACATAGACTGACAATATTCCCAGTCCTCACAGTCAACTCTGATAAATCAACAGTAAAAAGTTCTCAGAAGGGAAGAGGAAAAAAGAGGGAAGCAGCACTGGCAGCAGCAGGATTTAAACAGAGGCCATAGATCATTCCAGGAGGGTTTAGGGCATGCTTACTGTCACATATATCTCAACATACAGAGAAAGAAGGAGGGGAGGCCAAGCCTATGTCGTCTGTTAGACAAAACGCCCATAGAAATAATGGAACTATTGCTAGCAGAATAATTGACTATAACTGAGATAATTGTCATAGGAATCTTCTCCATGTTTAGTCCTTTAAATATCAAATCTAATTTTATTCACTGGAGTTGGATTTTGTTATGTGTCTTCTGATTGATAAGTAATATCCCTGCATTACCCTCAACAACAACAAAACAAATTTGTTGAACTCATAACAGTGCAAAATCTTCAACTTGGAGATTGGTTCCTAACGATTTCCTCTGTGGTCAAAGTGAACAGGCCTGTACCTGACTGAGGGCTGGTCTTTTTGGCAGCCTTCTCCTTCTTGAATTTGGGCACTATTCGAAACATGCTGGAGCGACTGTTCCTCTTGCCGTAACCCAGAGAGTGGTCCTGGTACATAAGCACAGTCAACCTATAGCCTTTCATTTAGCTACTCAGCTCTGTCGTGAAGATTAAGCATAAGAAACAAGCTTACATTTACAATATACACTATGCACTTAAGACATTGTTTAAAGTACAGATATTTACCTCTTCGTCATTGGGCTGAAGGATGTGGTAGAGCCAAGTAATTTCTCCTAGTTTCCCCATTTCAAGTTCCACACTCTGCAGGGCATTTGACAACTGCTCCTCGTCCGGTGGCTCCAGTTGCTATTAGTAAAAACACGTTAAAGATATCTACAAATATAAGTATCTCCTGTTTTGTACTGGTAATAATGTACCAGAGAAACTCGTCCCACAAGAAGAGATTCAGTCTCATTGTAGAGGGCCTTCACAGTGCTGGCCACCTCTATTGCTGTATTTCTGGTTAGGCTCTAAAGACAGAATCACACGAGTTATTGTACCGTGTCATTGCTTCTGTAAATGTATTCTTCAACAAACCTCTGGAAACTTGGGGTGAGTTTTGTTAATGGCGTGAGATGCAGCATTTACAGCATGGGCCAGTTCCTGTTCCAAAAGTCCATTGGTTTGGGCGGCCTCACATATTCTATGACAGAAACAAAACTCCACTTCAGTTTCATTAAGAAAACAAACACAAAAATATACCGTCAATTCAGTGCGATGTTGGTTACCTTGTGATAAGCTCCTCTGTAGCTCGGGCACACAGCTGCACCAGTCCTGCCTCCTCTTCTGTTGCCAGATCCACAGACTGTTGTGGATAGAGGTGAGGTCTCAAAGGCGCCTTATCATACTTCAATTTATCCTCCCAGGACTTCAGCGTGTTTTCAAACGCCTGCATTCAAAGAGCAACACTGCACTAAGCACTTAATCTGCATTTCAACCTGCCCTTTACACAATCATTCTTTAGATCGACTTTTTTTACCCGATCTCTGGTGAGCATTTGAGCCCGGTTCTTGTGCTGGATTTTGATGACACCTGGAGGCTGAATCCAAGCCTCTCCGTCCACCTGAATGGGAACCCCCTCGTCTCCCAGGATGGTGATCTTCACTGTCCGACACTAAAACAGCCAAACACATTGGTTTAGTATTTTATTGTCTTATTTAGGATAATTTAAACTTTTTTTGAAACTTTTATTATTATGGCCATTTATTTAAACTTAAAACTATATACAATTTAGACTCATTACAAAGTGGCACATAGGCCTTTTTTGTTAACATTTTAATGATTGTGGCACACAGTTTACGGAATTCTGGGCGTTTGTGCTTAGACTGCTGCCCTCGCGACCCGGCAACGGATGAAGCGGAAGAAAACAGATGGATGGATGCCTCACAGTCCAAGTTCACAGTTCAGTTTTATTTGTATTTTTTACGAGCTGTGAGCCATAATTCTCAACATTATCAACAAATAAAAGCTATGTATATCTCACTTTGCGTATAATAAATCTGTTACACATTGAAGTTGAATTACAGAAGTAAAAGAACTTTTCAACTATATTCTGATTTTCTGAGTTTCACATGTAAAATAATATCCTCCATATTCTCTACTTTGTTTTGCATTAGTAGTAGTTTGTGCAAACCTGTGCAATGCGATGGTGTTGAAGTTTGATCACTCTGGACACTGCCATCTGCATGCTTCCAAACACAGCCACAACTTCAAGGATTTTATCATCAAAAGATGGTGCACAGAAGATCTACAACAAAAGACAATTACACTTCATTTAGCATTTATCATGAACCACCTACAACCAAAACAATAATAACTATATAATACATCACATACACTACAAATATATATTAAATACTTTATATGCCAAATGATTAACAATTTTTCTATTCTGTTCTGCCAGGACAACTTGTGTCACGTGTCACTTGTGTCACATTAACGTGTTATCAACGTTAACGGTATAAACACATGTATCTTCCACAGAGAGTGCAAGACTAATCTGACAGTAAATGTTATAAAGAGTTAAAGCCACTAGGGGGAAACAAATGTCAACTGTGTGTTTTAATCCAGCTTTGGGACATGCAGCTCTTCAATTTGTCAAGCTCATTCATTGAATAAAAGACAGAAAAAGTTTTGTATAGAAGAGGGATGTGTTTAATGTTAAATGTGTGTGATTTTATACACATCATAAACACTGTTTAAACAAAAATCTCCCAAACAAAGTCTAAATGACAAAAAGGTAATTGTTCACTGTTCACATCTGTTCATGTCTAAATTTAACTATCCTAAATGATTGTCCCCTCCTGAGCATGACGGTTACATAAGTGAGAATGCGCGTACAGTGTTTGTGTGTCCAAAGGCAACCTCTGGATCACTGAGTGTGTGTGCAAACTGACACTCCAGTGCCTCAGCAGCACTTGTGCTCTGAGCCTTGAACAAACAACCACGCATATTTCTATCCGTGCCTTCCCCCACACTTCAAGGCCACTGAGGTCAGGCTAAACCAGGCTCTCAACATCAATCGCCAAAGGGAAAAGCAAAACGGAACTTTTCTTTTAATTGTCCAGTTGTTCTTCTTTTAAATTGTTTCACGTTGCATCAAGGTTCAAAACAATGACAAAAAACAACAGTGTTTGAGGCAAAGAATGGAAATACTTACATCGTCCTCTTTGGTGCCTCCCCAAAAGTTGGTCCCTCCAGCGTAACTAGGAATGTTTAACACTGCGATGCCCTGGAGGCTCGGCAGAGGGATGTACTGACCATCACACTTGAAAAACAGTAATTTACCCAATTAGATATTTTTTCAATACTACACAAAAAATAAAAAATAAATCATATATTGCCATTACCAACCTCTAATTGAACTTTCTGCTCCAGATTTTTGTAGGTTCTCTGGAGAAGCTCCTTTGTGCCCAACACGCCATACCACATCATGTTCTTTGTACGACTCCTTCATTTAGACAAAGTATTAACATTCACAACGTATAGAAATCCTTCAATAAAAGAAGTGATAAAACAATGAATACAAAGTGGAACAAAACAAAAAAATCAACCTGCCTGCACTTTTCTGGGTGTTCTTCTCGCTTATTATTGAACTCTAAGGAAATCTTGGCATCCAAACCGATACCAAAGTAGTTGTTCATAACACACTTTTCCATGTACCCCTCTCTAATAAAGAAAGGGAGTCAAGTTTAGATTAAAGGCACAAAACAAAAGGCAGTGTTTGGGAAAAAGTCTTACAGTGAGTCAAGGTCAGGGTCTATAAAGGGTGTGGCGCCGAATGGGTCGATGTTCGCCAAGAGCATCTTACTAATGATGGAGCTCCCGGCAATGGAGGCAGCGAGACCAGCGCGCAGGCCTACACACACACACACACACACACACACACACACACACACACACACACACACACACACACACACACACACACACCAAAGATTAAGATTCAGATTAAGAGATCCTTTATTCGTCCCACAATGGAGAAAATTTCATCCGTTTCAGAACAGTAGGAATGAGTGGCACCGAGCACAAATCACAAAAGATTAAAACAAATCTCAAACTGTAGCATGAAAAAGCATACTGAGTCAAGATGAGAAAGACATGGTGATGCTCTCATTATATACAGTACTTGTGTCAAGAGCTTTTGTGTTAGTATTAAAGCTGGGGTCCCTAACTTAATTAATCAGACCATAATATTGTAAACCGCTTTGTGACTCTGGTCTGTGAAAGGCGGTATATAAATAAATATTACTTACTTACTTACTTACTAATATGCTGTCTTCATCTTACTGGAAAAAACCAGTACCGTATTTTTCGGATTAATCGCTCAACTTAATAACCAGGGCTATCATTTCATGATCAATAAAATATATCAAATTAAAAATATCAAATTTAATAGTTTCACACATAAGTCGCTCCAGAGTATAAATCGCACCCCCGGCCAAACTGTGACAAAAACTGTGATTTATAATCCGAAAAATACGAGCCTTGTGAGTCCGTATTTGACCAATCAGATCTATTATTAACTTCCTCTGTCCGAAAAATGTGAGGTAAAATTGCATGCACGTACATGTTGGGTGATAGAACCAAACTGTTTTGAGAGTGAGGGACTTTTTTTCCACCAAGTTTTGTTTTTTGCTGTTTGAAAGTTACATACCCCAGCTTTAAGTAACAGCCAATATACATACACATTACAATAAAAAGTGTATTTGTCGGTTAGAGCTGGATTACCTGGACAGATGATGCGAGTGTTTAGTACTGGCAGGTTCTCCTTGCTGGTGGTGAAAGGGGTGATGGTGAAGGACTGGTAAGACTGAGTGCTCCGGCTTACTTTGCGCTCTGTTGGGGAACATGGACTCCTGGAAGCTGTAAATAGAAAAATACATGCACTTGAAATTCAGAAATGTTGCCTGGAATAACAAGTGGGCCCACAAGAAAAGGCAGATTTTGCACAAGTAGATTATGAGTAGATTTACGAAAGGAGATTATTCTTCTTTCACATAATCAGTAGAATAGAATTGAGTCCTCTATTCTTCAGTGTGCTTGACCCGGAGTATGGTCACAAAAACATATAACAATACACAATATGCATAGACATTAGATAGGATTCTATAGAAAAAAGGTCCATGCAACAGCACTATTCTTTTTGATAAAGAATTACTGAAGAATTCATGAGCAGGTCAGGAAAGAGTAGGGACGCCCGAGGACAGTCTGAAGCGATACCCCCAGTCTTTCCTAATGGCCTGGAAAATCCATGGAAGGAAGCTGCCCCATGATAAACAGGAAGAACTTCTGCTCATAAGACAATAAAACATCCTGTGGCTTAAGCGCACAATGCATTTTACTTATTTTATGTTCAAAACTGTTTGGATAGCACCATTTTCCATGTACTTAGCAATTAATCCTTGCTTTTATTTATGACAGGAAATCTGATTTGCGTCAGGAGCACCTTTTTCCATTCATTGTTCAATTTCTGGTAAGGTTTCTATTGCGTTGCATAGATTACACTGGCCACAAGGGGGCGACTTCATAGTCCTTTATATGTTTTTTTCCCCCTTGAACAATGTGGAAGGCTTGTGTCTGTTAGAACATCTCCTACAAGAGGTTAGCCCCACGCGAGCCTAATTAATTATGTCTTAAGTGTTTGAAAACAATGCCAGCTGGCAGTGTGAGGAGATCAGCCAGATGAGGATGGAAAGGTTAAATGGTTTGGACACAACCCAGGATGGAAATAGTTTGTGTTTGAGCCAAGTTGGTAAAAGGGACTGTAAACAGGTCACATAACAGACTAGGACCAGAGGCAGACACTCACATGGCAACAGCTCCAGCTCCTTGGTATCTTCATCCTTCTCACTGTCACGGTTCTCCTCATCACCATCTTTTCTGAACTCCAGTGGTGACGTCAGCTCTGTGTCCTCTGTGTGGGCGTTCTGCTCATCCACCACTGTAAAACAGGTACGTTTTGTATTAACGATACATATCTGAACAGAGGAATTGAAATACATCAAAATATGCAAAAATAATATGCAAATACTGTCTGTTTTTAGTACATAGTTTTATCTTTCAAAGTTTTCTTTATCAGAGTAAGCGTGATATGTCAAGCATAGCAAACTGCTTGAAAACAAATCTTGGCACCCTAATTCTATGAAATGCTTGTTTTCACCTCTCTCAGCTTGCTCAATGATCTGCCGCACCGCTTTCTTCAAACTGTTGGCTCGGAGCATCATCTGCTCCCGGCTCTTGAACATCTGATGTGGGGGAGTGGCGCCCCCCTTCTCAGTCTCTGCCAGCTCAAGTTTCTCCTTCAGCTCCGTCAGGCTCTCCTCACTGGGCTCCTCGTCCTCGTCCTCCGGCTCCTCCTCTACAATGGGGGGTGTGGAGTGGGGCAGCGAGGGCAGAGCGTGGCACTCACTCTGCAGCGTCTGGAGCAGGGAGTCCAGCTTCTCATTTAGGATGGCACACTGATGACGGATGAGTTCAAATAAATACAACAAAAGATAGAGTAACAGAACTCTTAAAGGACGTTTCCTATAACCTACTTTGAGAGACATGCTGTCGCACTCGTCTACATTCTCACTGCTCTTCTCGTAGACCTTTCCCACTTTGGCAACGAAATCCTTCACTGTTTCACACAAGATCCTGGACAAAGAATAAGTGTATGTATAGAAAACAAAAGAAAAAAATTCTTCTGAAAAAGTACTTGTACGTACTTGGCAGAGGAGATGACCACAGAGTGCTGATCAGAGTTCAGGATCTTGGTAAGATGGGCTGCCACTGAGTCTTCATAAGCTGAAATGTGAAACTGCAAGAGAGAGTGCGAGGTGAGCTGTGGGGACCGCCAAAAGGAAACAATAATTTATTGGAACAAACAATAAGAAGACAAAACGTACAAGTATCAGGTCAATATTTTTGTGGTCAGCACTAGATCATATACAGAATCATAATCGGGACGGAAGCGGAAGTAAATATAACAAACTACCTATTCATACCTAAACTTAACCAGCCATTCCCAAAAACTAACCCCAACGCACCCTTAACCCTAACCTTAACCATCTTACTCAGACACCTACAACTTAATCAGTCACTACTTGAGGACTTTTTAGTCTAAAACTAATTCGAAAGTAGGATTGTTACTTCCGGTTTTGTCCCGATTCCGTATATGATCTTGTGCCGAACATATTTTTGTCTGTTGCATAGATTTGTGTTGGTACCTGGTAGTTGTCGCCCCCCTCAGGCGTGGTGGGGCAACTATGTTTAGGCGGCATCTTGATCTCGTATGTCATGATGCTCCAGCGGTCCAACATTTTTGTACTGGCTCGTTCCAACTTTTCTAGGATTTGAGGCAATTGCGTATCATCATCACATGACGGACCCCAGCCCAGCACTCTGGCCAAATCATTGCCTGTTCCCAGAGGCAGCACCCCCAGCTGGCACTGTGACACAGACAGGGCATAGCAGTCTATTAATAACAATAACAATAATGATAATAATAATAATAGAGATACACAGGGGTTTTTCATATGCTATACTACATTAATTATTTGGAAATGTTCTCAAAATACCTGTTTGTGAAGGTTAAGTTTATCAATCTCAGACAGGACCCAGCCCACACTGCCGTCCCCCCCACACACCAGGATCCGAAAGTTGTCAAACTTTTGAAATAGACGTAAACTGAAACAAAAGGCGACACACACTGTTTTGTAACCATTAATGCATGTTTGTTGTTGGAAAGAAGAGAATAATAATCCTTACCCTAGATGAGGCCCACCGTTCACCAGGTCAAAGACTTGGGCAGGGTTCAGGAGCTGCTTGAAACGTCGCAAGAACTTCACCCCTTGATTATCTCCACTTTTCGAGTTTACAAACACCAGGAGTGGACTGGCACATGACGGGGGACACGTCGCTTTCCAGAATCCTGAACACACATTTTGAACAGATAAAACTTGTGACACTACATACTACCTTTGTATATCGTCCTACTCTGTAAATGGAAAGATTATGTTTATGTAAATTTGAATTATTTTGGATTGAACTAATCACTGTGTAGTCGTGATGGTTGGACATGTTTTTACTGATTAAATGTGCCTAAGGGCTATCAATGTTTAGTTTCTTATTTTATTAATCGATGAATGGCTCCTTAGATGACTAATTATTCAAGAATGTATATATAAAAACTGCAAACATGTATCTTTTGGAGCGAAACACCTCTCAATGTTGGTTTTTACATTGATATTCAAGCAACATCCAACTCTCAACTCACATGTTTTATCCACTGTTAGAATGAATCGCTAAATATTTCAGTGATTTATTCCTACATAAATCGAGAACAGTAATATTTTGAGCAATTGCCACACCCCCTTTTTAGCTCAACAAATCAATCGACAGGGCATTTGTTCAACCTGAGATACAACTTGTCATTTTCATAGTCATCGAAGCCCTTTGTTTCTCTGTGCATTTCCACAGCCGTTATGAAAACCTCATCAAAATGAACCTCCATCACTGAGCTACTGTACAAGGGGACCCAGCACATGGCAAAAGCACGTGTTTCGCTCACACCACCGCACGTATAGACAACCTGACAGCACACCACAACAAGAGGGTTTGGATACACAAAGCGTAATCTACAGCCCCCCCCCCCAGAGTCAAAAGCCCCCCCGCATACGAAATGTATCTGTGGAGTGGTGTGGTCTTCTGCTTTCTTCTCCATATCCCTCTTAAGCCCTTTGCCGAGTCCATACTTTGATTTTTTTTTTCCCCCTTTCTGTAACGCTGTCAGAGAAAGGAAGGAAGGATAAGGGAGAGGAGGAGGAAAAATGGAGGGAAAGTCACGACTCTTGAGGCACGTGTTTCAGTCTGATGTCCTGCTCAGCCAATTACAACCCCCTCACTCCCCTCTTTCTCTCTCTTTCACGCTCTCTCTCTCTCTATCCTGCAGTTGAGCAGTGGGGTACAAGCACATGAGGTATTATAGAGGGAAGCATCTCATCAGCTACTGTGTTTTTCATCCAACAATTGGCCCAAGACACGCTGTTCTGTATAAGCCATGGAGGTGATGTGCTGTTGAGAATTACTTTTAAAACAATATACATTCAAATACATTAATAATAATAATAATAGTCTGCTTTGATGGTTAGAAGCCACTTTAACGACCTGCTCTAGGACTGTAAAAACTGTGGCACTGCTATAGTAGCGTTTTCATGTTATTGTACATAATATAGATTGCACAAAAGAGACTTCACTTTTAACATGTTTGCACATTTTCTGTCTTTTGCACAACCTGAGTGAATGTAAATGTCTCCGTTGTGGGTAATCAATAAAGTCTTTTTTTTATCTTATCTTCACAATTTCATGCCAAATTAAAGTGACATGTGGACATTTTAAAGTGTTGTTCTTTACCGTTTGTAGTTCAACAGTGTTTAAACTTTCATGAACTGTCACATGTATTGTATGTCGGTGCTGGTTGAGAAGAGAATCGTCCCCTCTTGGTCACATGTCCACACACCGCCTCACATGACACGCAAGGCTATTTTTAACTTCTGGCTAAAGGTAAAATTAACAATATATACTTTTACGCTCATTAGCTAATTACATAAATAGAACGATGAATAGACAGGATCAGGCTGTAGGAATAGACGTAAAGGGGTTTGATGAAAGTACTGTGATTTTATATGTTTTCCCATGTTTTATCAATGTTTAATCTCTTGTTTTGTAAAGCACTGTGTATGAATTGAGCTATACAAATAAACTTTACTTGCCATATTTATTGTTATCAACCTACATTTGAATGATCCATAATAATGTTTAAAACGTTAGTGGATCTCTACCAGGTACTTGATAACTGCTTATTTTAACTCCATGTTCTGGCTCCTTTTGATCCAATGATTTATTTTTTGTATGTAAATAGTTTTATTTTGAAGTGACTTCCTGGCTAACCGGAAGTGGAAAAACGGCCAACAGTTATTCCAGTTATCAAACATGATTCAGCTCCAGTGGTAGATCACACTGAGGTGATTGAGCCAGCACAGCCTGTGAGTTTGTTTCGTCTGTGTGTTAGCATTGAGTAAGTTTACCTGTTGTATTTTCCCCAGTGTTTTATTCTGGGGATGTGTTTAATAAGTTCCAAATGCTATCCCCGAATGCTAGCGCAGTATGCTAGCGCCGCTAATGTGCTGCTGTTAGCATTAGCATTGACCTCGTATTTTTTCAGAGGCACCTTGACAGTGTTACATGTTGTATTGTATTTCTTTTATTTGTTGCAGTTTTACCATTCTTACAATGATAAAAGCCTGGAAAAGCAAACACCGGTGTCGTCATTGTTCCGGTTATCTGTCTGCCTAGATTAAGTTTATCGAGGGCAGAACACTCCATATAAGGAGCAGCTTTTAGGACATTAATTGTAACCAGAAAAAGCTTTTTAAAAATGACTGTAACACATTGTATAAGCTCCTTTATGGCGGCTTTTAATTTGAGTATGGAGGTTAAAGGTGTCACAAGAACCGCTCTAAAACTAAATGGACTGGAAACCCATTTTCAAGGGGCACCTATTGCTGTTCATAGAGAGATTGGTTTTGGGCCCTGGGGTGCTGGGAGACAGGTGTCAGTGTTGCTCACCGTCTGAGTCGATGCTGTTGAGAGCCGTGGGGGGGATGATGGAGACTTTGCACTGACCCAAGGGACATTTGCGAGGATATAGGTCCATGCACGCCGTGTGCACCTGAATCAATGACAATGTTCCGTTAGAAAAATATGCAAATGACTTTTTCAGTACTACATCGTTTGGCCAAACAGAGTGTTGTAAAAGTACAAATCTGTGAACAAATCAAACTACAACATTCTGTTTTCATCTTATTAGAAAACATGATATCTTTTGTATACTTGGAAAAAAAATTACAGAGCGCTAAGAGCTGATAGGCTGAGTTAGGGTGGTCTTTTTTTCACTTTTCTGTATGAAAAAGATGATCTAAATATGTAATAAAGGCCAAAAATGATATGCACGTGAAAATTGATGAACTATAGTTACACGGTTTTGAAAGTTAAGTACCGCAGCTTTAACTAATCATGAAGGCTATGTAAATCTATTACTTTAAGTATTTTATTTGAACTTATTATATAAAGTAGATTTTAAGGACATAAAAGGCTGAGCCCCTGTCTAGACTTTTGATTGATGTGAGATGAAGGTTAGGTAAGAAAACCTCAAATCTTTGAGAAAAGACGACATTTAATCTCTCTCAGACAGAGATCATTTTCAGGGATGATTAAAAATTAATGATCAAGTGTCAGCCAGGAAATCCCCAGTGAAGGTGGGGAATGACAAACCTTAAGCATTTTGTACGTTTCATGAATGTACTACATCCTCTGTTGACATTGTCACAAAAGTAGTATTGATGAAAACGTTTTAGTTAAACAATAAAGTAAAAGGTAATATTTGGGAGCATAAAAAGGAGGGTACCTCTTCAAAACTGCTATTATGAGATCTCTCCACAGGTGTTCTATGGAACTTCAGATCTCTTAATTACAAATGAACAGAGCATGGTATACGCCCAATAAAAACATTTCATGCACAGTGGGAATAACACAAACTGTCACAAACACAAAATGAGGGGCTCAGGGCACAACCATAAGCTAAGAGATCCTATATAATGTAGAACTGCGATTGTGACAAGACAACAATGTCAGGATTCTTTTTGAAATCTACAGTATACAATACAAAAAAAAATGCTTGTTAACAATTTCAGTAGAAAAATCTGGCCTTTTTCTCTGTTTTTTTCCCATTCGTTTAATGTGAAAGCCTGAATAACAAAGTTTTTCTTGGGATTCACACCATATGCACATTTCTAACATGTTCTGTAGTGGTCTAATATCTAACAGAAGTGCAGAGGTGCTAATGTTTTATCCATGATGTAATACTGTCTTCAGGGTAATTTTACAGTCATTACTCGTGCAATAGCGTCATCATTATTTGTGATTAAACATAAATGTTTTGTGGATGGACACAAATTCTGCATCAACACGGCTCACAGAAATTGAATGTCTACTTGCATATTACTTACAAAACAACCAAGTTCAAAGAATCTAATTATGTGTATCTTATTGCACGGTTAACCGGTCCTACCATAGCTTTGCACCAGAGACAGCGCCAGTCCTGCAGCCTCAGCACGCTGCCACACGTCTTGTCACACACTGCACACTTGGCACTCACAGGCAGGTTCCCCTCCAGCCACTGATGGGGCATTGCAATCTACAAGAACACAAGAAGGAAGGAAGGTCAAAAAATACCAAACAAAAAAAAAGAAGAAAAAAAAACCTTGTCAACATACCCCATCTTCATCCTCAATAATATCCTTTCCTATAGATGCCAGTGTTGTCCACTTACAGTTGTTAATGGCTCGGACAGCACAGCGCTTGTGGGCTTTAAATTTGCACACTGAAAAAAAGAAACAATTCTGTTGTAATAAAAATCAGTATAGAAGAGTGAAATATAATAATCCTCTGTTTCAAAAAGGAGATTTAAAGATAAGGGAATAATTGATGACCCCCACCCTACAATGTCAAAATCAAAACACGGATTGTCATCAGCTTGTTTATCCAGTAACATGCAACAGTAAGACTGTGACCTGGAGTGAGAAGGTTCTTTTACTGAGGACACCCAGCTCAAATTGTCATTTCAAAAGAAATTTTTCCAGATAAAAGAAACCATTGATACACTGATTAAACTAAATACACTGAGCTGGGAAAAGTTTTCAAAATGATTCAAGGAAATCAAGATAAAAACAAGTGCGTACAAACACTATATTTGTAGTGTTTAAAAGCATTTCTTTCCAGTCATCAACACAAAAACATGAATCTTTAGACTACAGTAAAGAATTTCAGAGACTATCTAACAATTGGTAAATGATCTAAAAACAGATATTGCTTAAACATGTATAAGATATTTGTGTAATGTGCTCAAATCTCTTATGCAGTAAAAGTAGCACATACAGTATGAAGCTATAATGTATAATTTATAATGTGCATAAAACCTATCTGCAAGCAACCCAGAAACTCATGAAAAATGCATATACCTCTTTTCACTCTCCCACAGTTACAGAGAAATATCTAAACTACAGCCTAAGTGGACATACAATACCATTGTTGTGTTTCAGGCTAAACACAATTATGGTGCATTAGCAAAGCATTACGCCTGATACTGATGGCTCTTTATGGCTGGACCGGGAACATTTGTGATGGCGAGACTGTGAGTGTGTGTGTTTGTGTGTGTTTGGGAGTGTTTTAGTGTTTGAGCAGAAGTATATCATAAATCAATCACAGCAGAGCGTCCAGAGCAAGAAATCGAATGGGAAATTTAAGCTGCTGATTGCTGTGGAAACGTTTGGCCGGTGGTTTAATACAGACGTAGCTGATCTTTCTCTACGGCGCTGTGTCCGCCTCTCTTTCAAAGCATCTTTAACTAATCAAATTGTCATTGATAAACCATTGCTTTTTTCTCCTTCACATTTGTCTCTGACTCTTGCGTTCGACCTGATACAGCTAAACAAAGCTGTAATGGTGAGCCTGTGAAAGAACGACTTTATAGACTCTAAATGTGCTTGTTTCATTGCTCTGTATAGTTTTAGGGCTTGTGTCAATCAAGTGTACGAGTATGATTCACACATGTTTTGTTTTAACATAAGAGGGATTGGCGATACACTGACTGCACCAATTTAGGATTATTCACACAAGTTTCTTTAATTACCTTTAGATGAGATTAGCTTTTATTTTCCCTTTATTGGAATGTGTCCTCTGTATTCATCCGATCAATCCAAATTGTCAGATCGTGTGTTCTCCTCTTGATTGTGATGTTCAGTCATCCATCAAACAGTATTGGTAAAAGGTAACCAAGAGTCTCCTGTGGGTCTATTGACCTCCCCCATATATGCATTTACCTACCCCTCATATTGATGAGAAGAACTGAAACTAGCCACCTACAATTATTTGTGCAATTGTGAGTTTAAGTGTGTCTTTGTGGTGATGAGATCATTGCAGATAATAGTATTCAGAGGCCTTTTTAACGAGATGGTCCTTTCTCTTGTCTACGCTGCTTTCTTTGGCCTCCCACTTGCCGTACAAGAGGCCCTAATTGCAGTGGGTAATGAGCATTGAGTGGAGAGACTGGGGCTGTTCACGCAGCTAACCCAGTGTTCAAAACACAAGGGACCATTGGATAAATTAGGACAGGGAGCTGCAGAGGATTATTTTGATCTGTTGCTTTTCACTGACACTACACACCAGCCTCTTCTTTCAATCACCTGCTGTTCTCTCACAGATGAGCTGTGAAGATGAGGCGCTTGGTTTAATTTACGTTACTTCTATCTGCTGCATTGGTTAAATTGAGAGATGCAAAAATGCTAAATCAAAATTTAAATAGCTGCTATCTCTGGGACCTATATGAAACAGATTGTATGACATACATGAATCGGTGAAATACAGCTGACAATTCTATTTTTATAGGTTTTGTAAAAGTGTAATTTTAGATGGTCTTCTGGCTTTGGATAATAAACATGACATAAATGTGATTGTGAACATAAATGACTGTCAACTAAACAAGTACTGTTTATTAGTAAGCAAAATCTCAACATCTATCTATCTATACGTGACAATTATAGTTCAGGAATATCATCACAATACAAATGTTAATATTGTAATGTCTAGAATGTGATACGTTTATGATTCCTTACCTTCGCAGGAGAGGCCATGAGATGTCACCCCTGATAAGCTGTCTTTGCAGACGTTGCAGAAGGTGGGCCGTGCATGGGAGCAGGCATACCAGTTGTGCATCCCTGAGAAATGCTCCACATTGAACTGCGCAGTCTGCAAAAAAGTCAAATAAGGAATGCTGTATTTTATTTAGCTTTGCTTCGAAGTATGATTCATATTAGTCATTTAGTTTAGAAAAATTTTAGTGGCTCGAGCTGAAATCTTGGGTAAATAATACTTTTCATAGGTCTCCACAGTAATATCTAACAGGTGTTTGAAAGGTATAAATATTACGGTCAGAATCCACAGATAATTTTTGGTATAAAAAAATATTGTGATGTTGGCTGCAGCAGAGAACAAGTTGTTAATTGAATTTTCTCACATAATTGGAGCGCTCCTGTGAGACGCAGAGCTAACCCGGGGTTAGAGCAGTGTGTGGGTGTTGAGTCTGCAGTGGCTGCTGCAGTCCTACATACAGTGCCTTGTGTAAGAGCCTTCATAACAGGTGCCTTGAAACTGGGTCTAACAGACACTCACAGACTGCTCGGTGCAACAGACCCGCCTCAGCAGGGGTGCAACACATGTGTGTGTATATGTGTGGTGCCCCGTGGAGGGACAGCGAGGGGTACTGCTGCATTGCAGTGCAATAAAGGGATGTGGGAAAGGGTCTTATATAAGAATCCCTCCTAAATCAAAGCCATTATTATGCATGGCGTAGTTTTTGCTGTGCTCGCCACAAGCGCCTTGCTGTCAACACATTGCCAACATTTAGCACCCTTGTGCTGACAGGAATATATTGGTGATGAATACATCCTGTTTAATGTCTTCGCTTTAATCTGTGTTTTGTGCATTGTTATTAACTTTTTCTTGTTTTAAAATCACTCTACAAGTGTACAATGCTGACAGTGTGTTGTGTCATGTGCATAGCTACCACACTGGGTCATTTTTTATTATTACCATTTTCTATTACATATTGTATGCCGTTTTTTAAATCTTTCTTTGTGTCTGAATAATCACAGCTGTTATACACCTGTGAGGAGATACCTATGCATGTCTATTCATTGCAAAGCTCAGCATGGAAACGTGAGTGTTTTAGTTTTTAGAAATATTGGGGCTCTTAATAAATGCCAAATCCACCGAAGAAGAATAAATGCCAAAACCCAGCGCTGAATCCAACGATGCATGACGCACCTTGATCACAGAGGATTAGTTACTGATTTTTGTAAATTCAATAAATAATAGACTTGCTATGTTCACAGTGAATCCAAACCTGTCTTTACATACATCTTTTTTGGTCCCACTGCTATTAATTCCACAGTGTCCACATAAACATCAGTAAAGGGGACATACCTCATAGTGTTCCCTGGACTGGACGGACTTGAGTGAACTGATCCAGTCCTCCATCTCTTTCCTGTTTTCAGCGCAGAGGATGAGCCTACGGAATGGAGTGATCACCTGGACACAGTAGGAGACAGGACCCCCTAATTAAAAAAATCCAGAAAAAACAACGACTTTCCTGGAAGAAGCGTAGACATTCAGAGATGTGCAGCTTTGTACCACCGCAACCAGCCGCTCTGTCTTTAAGAGCGGGATGGGAAGAGAAACACCCCTCCCTACTGATGTTGCTTCTCTCACTCCCTCATTATCTTTAGCTCGCTCACCCCTTCACACCTTCCTCTAGTTAGACTTTGCGATCACCTCTTCCGTTTTTTCCCTGACTCTAGCTCAGGCCACGGAGCTTTGAGGAAAATTGGTGCTGACAGGAGAAGTGCCTCGGAAAAGGCTAAGAGCTTGTGTCGCCCCCGCCCCTCCTGCGCCCTCTCACTAGTGTGTGTTGCTGTGGTTAAAACTAGCGACTGTCAGTGTGTAACCCTACAGACATGCACAAGGCTTTCAACGGAGCATCATTTATTCATCCTCTCCCATCTACTCTTTCTAACCGGCCATGTCCTAATGTTATCCCAGTGCCTGACAACTTGTGATGGATACACCCACTAAGGAATCTGCTGTATAAATATGAAGTAAAGTAAATCAATGCATGCATATACACTAAATGGCTGTTGCCTGAAAAGTCATGATACAGTCTTTAAAGGTGGGTGTATAATTGTAGTCTCTGCAATGTGACGTGACATCTGCAGAAAAATAGAGTGAGACGGTACGAACAAGAGCAGATTATGTCGTTAGAATGCACAGTACAAACAATTTAATAAAACATAGAACTTTTATTATGTAATACATTGTGATTGATTTATGTTGGCTTTTTAGTGCTGACAATTAGCTAAATGTCTTTGTGCACTCTTCATCCCTTGTCATGGTTACAATTGTCCTAAAACAAACTCAAATTTGATGCCCCGAAAAAGACAATAAAATAAAAACAATAACAGCTCATGCCCACTTGACGCTCTAAATAGGGAAAACTATTTAATGTTTTTCTTTAAATGTTCATAGGCATAGAAAGCAACTATCACCATTATTTGGTCAAGAAGGCCCACCAGACAACACACCGACTATCCCAACTCAGCGATGCAGTTCTGAAGAATGTAAGAACGAAGACACCATCAAAGTCAGTGTTTCAATCAGCTGACGACAAGGTTTTACAAAGTAGCTATCAATATCAAGGTGCTTCTCTACTTACTAAATATAAATTCTATTAAAGGTGCAATGCACAACTTTTCTGACAGGGAGTTACTCGGTTGTTGCCATGAAGATGTTATTTCTGGGCTTGGAATGCGCCTCAATATGGAATAAAACGTATTGGCTATTGAGTTCTAGTTGTTGAGCTCTCCTCTCTGGCTCCGCAAGATATTATGAACACACTTCTACCTATCAAAAGCACACAGTTCTTGGATTGAATCAATCAATCATTTCTCTGGTCCCCTCTTTCTAGTCTCATCTCTCTAGTCTCCACTCGGGCGGCACGGTGGCAGAGTGGATAGCACTCTCGCCTCTCAGCAAGAAGGTCCTGGGTTCGAATCCCGGTCGGACCAGGGCCTTTCTGAGTGGAGTTTGCATGTTCTCCCCGTGTCTGCGTAGGTTTCCTCCGGGTGCTCCGGTTTCCCCTACCACTAAAAATATGTCCAATAGTTCTAGCATGCGCCTCCTGTACTGGCGACCCCGCTCCCATCTCTGTGTGGAGTGAGAGACAAATGCCCAAAAATTAACAATTGTAAACCGCTTTGAGACTCAGATCTGCAGTGAAAAGGCGGTATATAAATAAAGATTACTTACTTACTTACTTACTCTCACTCTCTGGTCTCTGTCTGGTCTCATCTCTCTGGTCTCATCTCTCTGGTCTCCTCTCTCTAGTCTCATTTCTCTAGTCTCCACTCTCTGGTCTCTGTCTGGTCTCATCTCTCTGGTCTCATCTCTCTAGTCTCATCTCTCTGGTCTCATCTCTCTGGTCTCCTCTCTCTGGTCTCATCTCTCTAGTCTCATCTCTCTAGTCTCATCTCTCTGGTCTCCTCTTTCTAGTCTCATGCACAATCCAAGGAACAGAGTGTATGTTCGCTCACTCACACTAGTTACGCACAGGGCAGATTGATCCCTTCGGACATGGATCATCCTGTCTTTGTGATGGAGTGGTGTGTTTGTGTGGAGTTGGGTTTGTGTGTGTAGTAATACGACTGGTTGCCAGGGGAAACAGGAACAACGTTTCCAAAAATGGCTCCCGGCATCCCCGCAAGAGTGGAAAACCTCCCGTGATTGCTGACCTTCAATGTACATTCATCAGCTCTGTGTTTCTGATAAAGTGTGACACGGCGGCACCATGTATCAGAGCTACTGAAGGAGTCTAAGAGAAAAGCAATGTACGAAAAGAAGTGAATAATAACAACAACATTAATAATCATTTTTGAGCATATGATGTAAATCTGTGTGTATTTTAAATTAATTATACACCGCTATTCTTATTGCTCTGTGCTGTAGGTTGCACATCTGATAGAGATGTATAAACTTTCTCTCAATAACACCAGTAATAATTGGATTTTATAATAATTTTTAGTAGAGTTTACTACACAACAGAAGAGGAACCGATTTAAAGTCTGTACTGTGTGTTTCTGTGTGTTTGGTATGGCTCAGGGACTCATCAATCCCCTGGTTGATCCGGCGCTGTCTCTTTGTGTATGGACTCTATGGGTTCTGCATAAAGCCAAAATAAACAGTACATATACAATTTGTGCATTCCTTTATGGACTGTTGAAAAACGGACAAACAAACTACCGGAATTTTAATGCAAAACCAATTACATATGAGTAGGTCAACAGCGTGTCAGGTAGTAAAGGAATACTAGCTTCTTTACACATTTTGTCCTACTAGAATAATTTTCTTAGCCTTAACGCAAAACCTTGATGTCATGCCCACCGCCGTGAGAGCTTCAGCGCTGTCTAAGGAGAGCAGCTCTGACAGATGCTCACTGCCTCCTGCACATGGACCATTATAACAAATAACAAGATAATAATTTACTTTCAAATTACCTCGACAATTGTTTCCCGGCTGTAACACATACTGCACCAAACTCAACATTGATTTTTATGAACTTCCAGTGGCCAGTTAAAAGGAATCAAATGCTAAAAAACATGTGGTGGGCGGTGACTATTTCTCTAATGCAAATGGATTCACAGTTCGGGTTGGGCTGAGCTCAAAGCACGTTGAGCGGAGCATGCAGGATTCTACATGTCAGAAAATATAGAGAAAATAATGAAAATATGTTGGTAAATATTTTCGACATTTATGACACCAACACATCTGACCATTATTTGTTTTCTTTTTAAATATTATAATAAGTAATAAATCTTTTTGTAGAAGATGTAGCACTTACTGCTAATTAAAAGCAAACTACAGAGTGTTGTTAATTAGGTAAAGCAACAATAGATATTCTCTCCAACAGTGAAATGTCAGATGTACAATAATTTGTTCCAATGATGTGACAATCAATAAAAGTCTATTAGATTTAACATACATACAATGACAACAATTTTAGTCACAACATAATTCTATTTTTCATTATGCTTTAAGATTTTTGACACAATCCTGCTTTCTTTCTTCTAAAAAATACATCAATAAATTACAATTGTGTTTAAACATTAGCCAAATGTTAACCAAAGCCAGAGTCTTTTTCAAATATAAACACAAGCAACAAGAATAGCACTAAACAGTCGTCTTGATTTTAGTAATGCCATTCCCCGCATTGCCTCCACCGCAGTGTTCCTCCTTCTCATTTGCTGTCTGTCTGTCGCGATCACATAATCGAGCCCAGACTCCCCCTGTCGGCATGTCACACCACAGGACAACCAGCGCATGAGTAAAGCACAAATCTAATTACCTCTCGGATGTTAAATGTGCTCCTGACAGAGCTGCGTAGTCTTCATGTTCCAATGTCTGCTGCTCGGCTCGCTCTAACTGTGGTTCTCTCTTACCCCTGGGTTTGTGTGTGTGTGTGTGTGTGTGTGTGTGTGTGTGTATGTGTGTGTGTGTGTGTGCAATCGGTGGGGGCTCTGACATCACACTTGGATTTCCTCTGCTGCTTTACCTGCTGATACCCTGATACAGACCAGTGCTTTTCTACAGTGAGTAACACTGTGATGGGACAGTATGACATTTCATCTGTATCATTAAGACCAGCATCTTATAGTGTACACCGGACTTGCTTTTTTATCAAGCTAACAAAAACAAAGAACTTCTTCAAGTGTTCATTGTTTCTTAATTGTATCCTCCACAACCTGTCCAGAAAATGAACAAAAATAAATGTATTATTTCAGTTATTCAGCAACCAACTACTGTATGCACATCTACAAAGACATAGTAGATAGACATGCGATCAGATCTTGATTGATATATGTTTATTATTCTTACTGCTTTCATTCCCAGAAATAGTTTAAATAAAGGTCAGTACTGTCAGTAAAGGTCAATACTGTCAGTCTATCCTGAATGGAATCCTATTATGGCAATTAATATAATGGGAATAATCAATAATTCCAAATTATCATCCCATTCCAGAAAAGTAAGTCACAATGATATATAATTAACTATTGCTTTGTGTAAAATAACATGCAATCTAAAAATAAAATTACTGTGTCACCTGAGGCCTATTTACTTTACCAGATTTTTGCTAAAATCAAGACTGGTGAGAATTTTTCTCTCTCTTTCTTCTCCTGGCTATAGCAGAATTACATCATGAATGCTCTGACGAGTTGTCCTTCCCTGTTGAGATTATCTGGTAACCATTTCCTTCAAGATCTGTTTCAAAGATTACTCTGCATATTTTTTCTTTCTACATAAATATTGCTCTAATACAGCCATTCCCCTGCAGTACCCTCGCGGCCCACCAGGGGGCCGCGGACCCCACTTTGGGAGACACTGCTCTAATATATGAATGATGAGCGTATATAGGAAAGTGTTTTTCCTGGTCTTAAAGATGACAGATGAATGGGTGTGTCTTCATCTCCTGGCAGCAGTGTGAGGCACGTGCTACACACATGTACTACCAGTCCAGCTGATATAATCTTATTTATGAATATCGGACATAAGCCATCTCGAGCATCAGCGAAGCGTTTGGATGTGTTGCTAAAAATAACTCTGCTTAGTTTCAAAGCACTGTTCTCCTGCCTGCCTCCTCCTCCTACTTGTTTCTTAAAATAGAAAGAGCGCGGGAGAGCCGAGACATTTATAGAAAGGACAAGACACTAGTAGCAATGGTTTTGTCTGCATGGATCCTCTGCACATCACGCTCAATAACCCCACTCCCACACCTCGCTGTCAGGAACACTGCTATTAGTGTCACTAAGAGGCCAGTGATGAGGATGCTGCTTACTGATCAGCTAATACCTTATATTCAACAACAGCCATGTTTTGAAACCTTCAAAGTCTGGTGTGTGTTTTCTGAGACATTTACACAGGGAAAATGGGTGTTGCGTGGGTATTTGATTTCTAATGCAATTCGATAACAGCAAAAATCTTCATGATAAAATGATTCATTTTATTGGGCAGGTCACACAACACGTCAAAGAACGACACTAAAAGGATATTTTAATACATTTAAATAAATCACAAGGGGGGAAGGGAAGAGAGTATTTAATTCCACCTGATTTCCATAATTTAACTGCATAGTGCATTTCAAGATCCAAGGGACCACATTTGTTGGTTAAGTTCATCTATGTCTATAAAACACACACAAACAAACATACACACAAGTCCAGAAAGAGAGCGGGTACTAAGGATGGGATACGGATATTCATATTTTATATTGGTTATGTTCTACCTAGACTTGTGTGTAAAAGTTTTTATTTTTTTCAATAATTAAGAATCACACACAGTGTTTGAGGATATCAAAGCATTGAATTATTTTTTGGCACACAAACAGTCTGTGCAAAAAGACAAGCAAGAAGAAAGTACTCACTGTGAAGCTGTTGTTAACATTCTTAGTGCTGGACTCAGCAACACTGGCGTCGGACAAGTCCACCTCATCAAAGATCAGCGACTGAACAGATGATGGAGGACACAAGAAGCAAAACACAGAAATAAGAATGAGCATAACACAGTCATCTACAACAGGGACAGAGCGGACAAACTCAAAATCCTACATCAATTATTTGAATAAACACGATAATGATGATTCTATTATAAGTGTTTCATATTTCAATCAATGCTATGGTTATTGAAATATAGACCTTGTTTTTAACACAACATACAACACAATCAAATTTGATGTAGGATTGTAATATTGCATGGAAAGCTACTATGCATTATTATCTAACTTCAAATGCGTAGTGCGACTTCCCCAGCTACTCTTGGAACTAAAATAGCCAACAAGAGTCATTCATTTTGGGAAGCAGCTTATTTCTGATGAGATATGCATGGACTCATGAGCAAACAGGAAGCTGATATCCTTTCATCTCTTATGTGTACGGCATTTAGGCGTTTGAGCTGCTAAAGGGCAACAGGCCAAAACCCTGCCGCCATCACTCACAAGAATACCATTGACCAGAGTGTGTGAGTGTGTGAGTGTGAGCGGAGTGCTGCAGCTGTCAGGAAAGCCCACATAATGACGCCATCCCCAGTCAGACAAGAGGAACCTCAGCCAATGCTGTGTGTGCATGGCTCAGGCACGCCGCTTAGACCAAGTGTGAATGCCTGCAAGTTTATGTCATGTGTGAGCTTAGTGAGAGGAGCAACGCTGACCAGTGACTGCTCTCTTGGCTGCTTGGCTCATGTGTGTGGAAAGTGTTTTCACACTCGCATGACTGCCAACTTATTACAAGCTTTTGGTTTGTATGCAAGCTGACAGAGCAGGACATCTTAACCGTTAGCTACAGAGCCATAGCTGTCATTTCAACAACAAGTAATGCCACCTTTAACCAGTTTTTAATCTGAATGGAATACCCTATTTTATCCAATGACATACACATTGTATTATAGGTATTTGTTGTTGAAATGTATTGTTCAATAGAGGAGCTTCTTAAGAATAGGACAGCACAGCCACACATGATACATAAAGTGTTCTGATTGTACGGCCATTATAATGAAAAGCAAAACGCAAATTTATTGCATGTAGTTTGCTGTCAAACCTATGCAAATATACATTATATATTCTTTATATTTATATTCATGCCACATGAGAGATATCTTGGGGTCCTTTATTTATGGAGTGTTTTTATCAGAAATATTACTAAAATAGTCAAAGGGAAGTCATAAAAGATCCTAAAAGATATAATGAAGCATACAGTATCTCCATATGGCATGAATGGTCTTATGCGTTCATAAACTGACTTCGGCCTGCTGGGGTAAGGCCCTTAACCCTAACTGAGCTGTGCTGACCCGGACTCCCACAAGGCCTTCCTCAGATCCGCTGGCACCCATGGATGTGGGCGAGTGACGCGCCCCTGACCAGCACACAGACAGCAGCCGCCAGCACATGCGGCTCCGGGACACTCTGCGCAGTGCTCGCTCCTGCCAGTGAGCCACCGTGCTGCCCGACTGGGCACGTGCACAACACACGCACAGAGCAAAACCAACAGTTAGGTTCAGGGATAGTGCCAATAATCGATGAATGGGATTTTGTTTTTCGGAACACAGACATCTACATTTAATTTAGAAAAAAGGACATTATAATAGATTATATTTCCAAGAAAAACTATTTTATAATTGATATTACATTTTCTAAGTAGTTACAGAACTGTTTGAGAGAACCTATCATAGTTGATGATTATTACTGTAAGATACTGTAGGATTATTACCACTGAAATGTAATTTATTTTAAAATATAGACATTCAAGTTGGCAACTAGAACATTTCCTTTTTAGATAGATAAAGCTTGGTGATAAGGGAAGCTTACCTTAGCGTCTTTGGCGTAGTAAAGAGTTCGTCCTCTCAATTTGAAATAACGCTTTTTCCACCTCTGGAAGGAGCTGGTCTGTTTCAGCAACAATCCCTCTTTTATACTTGTCTGGTAACAAAAAGAAAGAACACATAATCAAGTATTATACTAGTGCATTATTATTACACAGTTCAAGTTTAAATAGCATTCAAAACATTATACTTTTACACATATATTTGCCTCAGTTGCCCACACAAAGAGAAATTTTATTTATTGCAGTGGAAGCCTTGTTTGAAAGGAGAGAAGTGCACACGCTGCACAGTGACATAGGCTGAAGCTGACATCCTGCCCACCAGCTGTGTCAACTTAAACAGCAAAACACATCGCCACAGGCCAAAGCACGCCATGGACACACCGTACTCATCAAGGGACATACAATATTAATCGTATCAGTCCCATCTTTAAAGCATGCATAGCACAAAACTATTTTTGTATATTTATTTCAAAAATACATTAGATCTGTGGAATAAACGGATTCTAGCCAACCACTATAGATTCTTCTTCCCTTGTTGAAGGTAGCGCTTAAAGACTGAATTCCTTCAGTGGATTAAGGTGAAATACCTCACCGCTCACTTCCCTAAAAGGACTTTGCTGCTTGCCGCCAAGTACTATCAAACTAAGGCTGAAAACAGACATGGCAGATGAAGTCATCTCCTCATTTATTGTCAGGACACTAATGAGACCATCATACCATCCTTTATGTGCTTACAATGTAACAAAAAAAAGATAGTTATCAAAGCTTTTAGTAAAACGTTTACAATAACTCTTAGTAGCAAATAGCAACTATATAGCTATCGTTGTAATGATAAATAATGAGTGTTTGGGAATCTCCTGAGTTAACTTATCAGATTTCATCTCATTTAAAGTCTACAGTCCTTGCACTTGTGAAATGATACATATTCTAAATGGGATTTACTTTTTTCTCAAATTTTTTAATGAATTATTTATATATGATAGGAACACACGACATGTACTTCTCTATTCATTAGAAGCACATCAATTCTCCAAATGTAAAAATAAAATGTACCATTAATTTTATATTTTTTCAGCATGAGCAGCAATGCACAAGCAGGACAGACAGGCTCTAGTTGGATGTCCCACTTTCCATATTGTGTCCCTCCTTGGCTTCCATAGTTCCTTTCCTTGTCTTCATCTCCTTCCTGTTGCCAAGTAGGCCAGAAGTGATCTATAAATAGTTTGCCTCTGCTGCTAAATAGTGAGACAGAAAGCTAGTCTTGTGCCACGGAGAAATGAGTAACCTGAGCACAGTCTGCACACACACTGACAAGGATCCACAAACGCACACTTCCACGATGAACCGGCCCAAGCCACAGCTGCTCTTGTCTTGTTTTTGTTCAGATTGAGATTCAGGTTCATTTTATTTGCCCTTTGCAGTAAAACCACATTGGAATACATTTGCAAAAGTCCCCAGTGTGCACAAGACAAGTACACGGATAAAAGAAGATTAAAAGTACAGGAATAAAACAAACACAATTGACACTCAAGATCGTTAAAGTGTTCTGTTTAAAGTGATAACAACTTGTGGAAAGAAGCTGTTAGCAAAAAAAGATATCCTGCATCTCAACGAACAATATCTTCTGCCAGAGGTAAGAAGCTGGAACATGGCTTTTCCAGGGTGAAAAAAAAAAGAGTCATTGATTATTCTAAGAGCTTGGTTTTAAAGTCTGGATTTATAAAGAACCTCCAGAACAGGAAGCTCACAGCCCACAGTCCTCTTTGCAGAGCGGAGCACTTTGTTTAGAGCTCTCCTTTCTTTGACTGTGATGTTACCAAATACACAGTCACAGAACCAACAAGAAAACGTTCAATGATGCAGCAGTAAAAGTTAAGCAGGATCCTAGAGTTTATGGTAAATTCTCTACGTTTCCGCATAAAGTATAGACACTGACGAGCTTTCTAAACAGCCTGGTTGTTGAGGTAAAGCAGACAGTATCCACAAAACCTGCCCATGTAAACATGTAGAGAGCTTCCCATTCATATTAGTCTGGTGGCTTAAAGATCCCTTGAAACCGAGTCCCGAAACCCTAGCTTGACAAGTACAAATTGTCTTTTTTTCCTGATCATGGTGTTTGAATTAATTATGTTATTTTGGTTCTTAAGTGAATGATGCAATCAGAAAGAAAAAAATAATATTATTATGTCAGAATAATTATACTATTATTTATGGAAACTCAATTTTCCAACCTAAATAGGTCTGTGTGTATCTACCATCAGTGCATATATTCATCTGCAACATTAAGGTGTTGTTAAATACCAGTGTTTGGCGATTACATTCACTGTATTTTGATACATCCATGCAAGATTTAAGAGTTGTAAATGTTATGGTGTTGTGTGGCGCTGTGTTCGTCTAAACATTCTGGTTAAGTACAGTCCCTTTGATCATGTAAGATCAAATTCATGTAAGTAAAATTCATACTTTTGGATCAAAAGATTACCCCGCTGTGCTATGAATAAAGGATCTCAATCCTAATACAACAGATGGAAACTTCCATTCGTCTCAAACATGAGCAGTAGTACATGTGTTACATGTGTTAAATGCAGCAGGGACACTTGTACCAAAGGTTGCATTGTAATTGTAGTTATAATGATTTGATTAAACCAGCAGACTAAAGGGGCTTTCACACCAGACTCAACTTCAACTTCAAAAGCGTCAGGTTTGCATTGAAAATGAATAGTGAAGCGCGCCAGGTGACGCCGAGCGCACACTACAACCCGTTCCTTAAACAACACAGCAAGGGCATTTTTAACAGAGATTCTCTGAAGTCACTGGTGCCACAATGTAGAGGGATGTTTTCTGATTTTGTTTTATGAAATGAAAGAGGTCCTTTGTAATAGACATGCCTTATAGATGCCTTTGTATTAAACTCTCACTGTTTCCAATGATAGTCCACACTGTTACATTCATTTAAGCATCTGTCACTGGCTTTTTGTCATTTGTGTGAGAGTCAGGAGTTCCTCTGGAGCACAATCAATTCTTTGACAGACAAGTGCTGAATCACAAAATACTTTCTTCCCACACCGCCCCCTTCTCTACCTCTCAGAGAACCATTTTCTCAGTTGGATTTTCATTATTCTACTTCTACCACCCACCACCCTCGGTGATGGGAAGATTACAATGCAGGAGGTGGGAAGAGGCGATTCCCTTGTCTCCGGCTCCGGTACAGCTCCACATAACAGTATTATTAATATGTGCATCTAGGTGGTTCAAGGGATATTTAAAGATCTATTTGTAGCGGGATAAGACAGCAAATTTGGTGTTCAAGCGAAGATAGAGCACTCGCTTGTTTCTCACAACATGTAATTTATAAGACTTCTTTGGTCTTTCTTTAGGTCTCTGCTAAGCTTCTTAACTTCCACAATCTTTCATTAAATAGACTGTCTCTTCTGCATTTACGCAAAAGGACGCGTGCAGTATGTATGGGGATCATTAAAAAATATACAATATATATAAGCCCACTGTTCATTAAACGTCATACTTTGTCTTCTTTGACCATGCTATGTTTACTTCTGCTGGGGCTACTGTAACCTGTGGCGGGACTCGCATAGAGACGCAAAGTGATGTAGTCTGACATTAAAGCTGGCCAATGAGCAGTTTCATAGACCAGTTGTGCAGTTTTTTCCCGATATACATTGCAATCACCAAAACATCAACACACCAGCGAATCATGTGCAAGGAGCTGGAAATGTACGTAGGTTGATCTGACAGCCTGCGAGAAATGAGAACCACACACACACACACACACACACACACACTCCCTGCATTATAGATAGATGTCTTAGGAAAATAGTATGATTCCATTTTAATAAGGTAAAGAAATTAGTCGTTAGTGATGCTGAAATTGCAATTATTTACATGCACTACAGTTTCACATGGTTTAAGTAACTGTAAAAAATGAGTGAATAATCAGGGAAACAACTAAGTAATAAAAGCTTGTTTGTGATAAAACAAAGTAATTACACAAACTAAACATACTTTTTGCCGTTTTGCTTGTTAAAATTATCCAATTCCCACATTCTCTCGTGTGTATCATCAGCGGAGCCCTAGAGACCCATTCAAACTCCCAAAACAGCAGTAGCAGGCTCCTGTGCACTCATAGCTCTGCTTTCAATCACCCTGATACCGAATTAGCAACAAGTATGTGTGTCCCTATACAACCACACCAAATCACAACGGGCCAGAGCTGATGTGCAGTCAAGTGAAGCATAACTGCAGGGCAAGCTTCTTATTTGAAACCTTTACTTCAATAGCATCTTTAATTTCTTATTTCAGAGCTATAAAGTGATATATAAAGTGCAATCCAACCCACTCGCTGAGCTTTATGATGGAGTATTACATTCAAATAGAGTTTTATAAAACTCTACCAAGGCCTGACCAACTGAGTGAAATCCTGGAACAAAGCTGGTGGAGACATTATACCCAATAATGCATGAGACCACATTTAAGTAGACCATTTACAAAGCATTCAAAGCTGCCAACACATGTAGATACTGTATGCATGCTGGTCCTGCAGAGCACAATATAAATGATCCAGCTTCTTCCGGTCTTATCTTTTCAAGTTTCATATCAGGTATTGGCACAATACTAACATAACATTAACAAAAGATAATTATTTGTATATATTTTTAATACACACTTGTTTTGTAGCCCCTTCACAAAAACCAACAATGAAACATGAAATGTACAGACTGCATAGAAGCAGCCCACTGAGGTATATGAATAAGTGAGACCACAGAGACCACAGAGACACTGATGAGCAACATGCATGTGCACACATAGAGCTGCGCAAACAAGCCAATGGAACAACACTCTGAGTACGACCTGCATGATCCATTAGTAACATCGTCACAAGGTAAAACGACTCGCTGACCCACACCACTGCATCCTTCAGACTGGCAAGTGTAAACATATGAGCAGGGCCACTGCTTTAGGCTATTTTCCCTTTACCCCAAAACACTAGATCGTCCTTTTGCTTTTCTCGGATAATGACCATTTCTAGGATTGAAATGGAATGGCTAACTTCTCATTACGTTTCTTTTTCACAAAATGTATGAAACATTGTTGATTAGGCTATAGAGATGATCTTGTTTCTTGGGTCATTTTAGATGAATAAGTAGAAAACTTTAGGTCAAAGCCTGTCATGTCACGTACTGACAGGAGAGTAGGTGTAGAATTTGCATAACGAGGGTATCACCTGATTCGAAACCTCTAAATATATCCCATTGTGAATAATGTAGGTAAGGGTGGAGTGAAGCGGTCAATAATTAAGTGGATCCATTGGTGTGAGAGGACAGCACTCATTTACAGTACAAATGATAAGTGGGCCAAGAAAGCTTAGATGTCACAGGTGGAATACTGTATGATGAGGGGCTACACAAATAGGATTCCTTGATATACTGTTTTAACATAAATGCACATTTTGTAGTATTTGTAGTATATTGCAAACTTGCAATCAAGAATGGTCTGTTTTTCTTTTCTATTCAGTTAGACAATAAACAATTTCATACAACATAAGAAACCGTGATTCTTTTGTAGCCTAAATGTCATAATTACAGGCGAATACACAATTGTGCATTCATTAGCATAAAGAATATGATGTTTCACAGGAAAACCCTAACATTCAACAGTTAGTTGCCATAACAACAAGTCTTGGAAGTCCTGTTTTCTCTTTTCATCGCTTATAAATACACTAGATCAACATATTACTATTAAAACATGAGTAGGAATTTAAAAGGCAAATGAAGAAAGTGAATCTTGTGCACAAAACAGGTAGCGTTAACGCCAGACGTACCTTGCTTCTAATTTGTCCCGAAGTGGACACTTTACGGATGAGTTTCTGGGGGCCTTCCTGCTCCGCATCGCTGTCTGACGACTCGTCCGCTGCTCCAGAACCAGGGCTGGTGCCCACCACATGGGTATGGAAGCCCGCCGCGGACGCAGCTCCTTTCTCCGGCTCCTGTGGCGGTATGGAATAAACACATTCGGGATTAGTCGGGTCTCGATCCACGGCGACCCCCTTCCCAGAGCCACAAAGCGGCTGCGAGGCGTCTCTCCTCGCTGTCATCTCTCACTGGCTCCGCGGTAAAGACGCGCGGCTGTTGTGGGGTGCATAGAGGATGGATACCAGCTCTACACAGAGCTAGAGTAGAGCTGTACACAGCAGATTGTTTACAAAGAGCCAACAGTCTTTTGTCCGCAGAGATAGGGCTCCAGTCATGAACAGTCCACTCAGAGACCGCCTCACACACTCTGCTCTCTGTGGACATGTCCGTGGCATGGCAGACCCTAGTGGCTGCTTTACGCACACAACAAGCTCCGGGGAGGCGCAACGCAAAACGCAAACCGTGCCGTGTTATGAGAAATAGAAGATTTGGACGGACAACGTGCGGTCATTCTGTAACATAAATAAATAAAAAGAAGAGTCATAAACCTCAAATAATGACCTGCGTACTAATAATTGTTGATAAGAGAGCACAAGCCTATGGTGAGGCATCAAATGCAGACTAGTTGCTGTTGGGGAAAATACAAATTTTCTTTACTTTTCTGATTCCAACTGCAAACATACCAGAAATGTGAGATTGCCCGGTGGATATCGTATATTTAGAACTTTCGCAACTGTGTTGAATTTAAACAACAATTTGGATAGATGTCGATAGATGTCGGTGATGTTGAGTTGACTTCTCCACTTTGACAAATGACAAATGTCGGCGCTGCCTAGAGCGCGTCGGGGGCCGCATACACTTCTCTAGTAGCAGGCCAAATCAAACAAAACGTTTTGAACCAAGTGCAACTCTCTGTATTGGAAATACTCATAATAGTATCCAAACAAGAAGCGGGAATCCAGAGTTGCATGGTGCTACTAACCAGTTCTTCCCAGGCTGGGCTGCGGGTGAAGTGGCAGACCTCCATAGTCGAAGTCCTCAGTCCTCTGCGGAGAGGAAAGGAATCGGAAGGTTTCAGGAGCTGGTGGATAGATTTGCGAGAGCGCCCTGGTTCGCAGTCATATGCGGACAGTGCGTGTACATGGTCCTGTGCTGTCCTCTCTTCTACTACACCGCTCTTCTTTACGCGCCCCCACCCCCGTGCCGTGTCTGTCAAGGCATTACCCCACGTGACATGTCAAATTAATTCAGGGCTTGCCCATATTCAGCAAGATTCAAATGTTTCACAAATATAGCATTGAATTTATGTTTTTTAATCCAAGCTGTATCCTAATTCCTGTCTTTGAAGAGCAACGATACATTTTGGTGAAGCCATATTTATTTATAAATACAAATAAGAAAATAATAATCATTATTTTTACTCTTTGGTTGAATCTGATAAATCAACTGTTATAGTTAAATAACTGTTGCAACCCACTTACAAAGTTACAATTGATAATTATATGGAACCTTGTATCCGGAACCTTTATTGGAAGCGACTAATCTTTCCGTGAAGAATTATAAGACGTACCAGTGGGATCCGCGCTCCACTGTTATGAGAAATGACATGAAACCAAACTGTTTACATGTCTCCTTCTCTTCTTGAATGTGTCCAGATCCACTAGGTACACATGAAACCTTACATATTTGTCCGCGGAACAGCTGCGGCTGTGGCTGCCAGAAGAATGCGGAATATATTGGGATCTGTCGCGGGCAGCTGGATGTGGAGGACCCGAGAGGTCAAACTTATAAACACATCCTCAGGTATAAGCACTTTTTCACAATTATTAGATAGATACAAGTTATATAAGTTAGTTGTCACTGTAAAATTAATTATTCGTAACAGATACTGAAATGGTTTTGTATGAACCATGCGTTTTTGATCAGGTGACACTGTAACTATTGGAGACATCTCGTACAAACTGAAATCAACAGAGAATCCAGAACTTGTCCCTGTCAAACACAGTATGTAGATTTAAGAATACTCATATTTGTTGTAGTGCATACATACAAATCACGCCATGTACAAATGCATACCAGTTTCAGACTCGCCTCCACAGACAGTGGCCCAACATTTACGATGGATTATGCAGAAAGATCTACTGGGTCAAGATATGTTTCTGATTGGACCACCAGGGCCCTTACGACGTTCCATAGCCATGCAATATTTGGTGGGTTGAGCATGGTTAAATTGTTTTTTCTTGAACAGAGTTACTAGAAATATAGTAACAGAAACTTTGGGTTCTAGGAGCTGACTAAACGAGAAGTTGAATATGTAGCCCTTTCCAGGGACACGACAGAGACCGATCTGAAACAAAGAAGAGAGATTCGCTCAGGGACAGCCTTCTATATCGACCAGGTAAATAATGGATCATTACATTCATAACTCATGCTTTGTCACTACAAAGTAATCTGTGTGTTTTTGATGGCTTCCTTAATTAACAGTTCCATCGTCTAAACACAACACACCAAACCTGAATTATCACACATAGTTTCTGCTCACTGTTTCTTACAGCTTTTTTACCTTTTCTCTCATTCCGTCATCTATCAATTTAAAACAAAATTTGAAAAGTAACTAACAATTATTTTGAGAATCAATTAATCTAACCTATTTTTTAAATGAATTGTTTAGAATCTAATTATGAGATTTTATCTCAATTTGACAAAGATAAAGTGGAATTGACGTTGCTTGAGATCCTTGTAATGGATAACTCTTCGAGATAAAACATTACCTTTTCTGTTCATGTTTCCTGCTGTTTGTTTCAAAAGTCACATCTCGGCACATTTATACATTCAAGTGTGTATATGATGTTAAGTTCTTTGATTGATAATTAATATGCTACAAAATATCATTCTTTATTAAACCCCTTTGGTAATTGTTTTCATGTATCATTTTGAAATGATACAGGAAGAGGTCCTGTATACAGCAATAATAAAACAATTTATCAAAATAAAGTTTCTATAATTTTTATAATAAATGGGGAACACCTTCAATGGTGGAAGAGAATCCACAAGAGAAGATCAGGAATGTATTGTATCTACTATACTTAGCACAAATAAATAATCGTAGGAAAATGGTAGCAAAATAATTCTAATAATTGTGCTGTTGTAAAGTATAGTGCATCCATGCGCATTGTTTGGTTTAGTGTCTATTATTATTTGCAGCAGATGTGATGTATTTGAGCTAGAACATCGTATTCCTTAGGGCTCTGTGCTGATTTGCAGCCCTATATTCAGATGGAGGTCCCAGTCCTGTCCGCTTTTCCCATTGCGGTACTTATAATAGCGTTTTAATTTGTGCTCATTTCACTTTTGTTCCTGGCCTTTTTCATTGACGGTTTGAATGGCATGTCCATGACTGCTAACACAGATATACTCTTATCTTCCAATGACAAGTACCTTTCTCCTACTAACCTGTTAGTTCAACCTGGAAAGTCGACCACAAACAGTGTTGAAAAGTCTTGCAACTTCCACCAGAGTTTAAAGAAAATGGTTCTCATTTCTTTGCTCCTGAAACCAGGACTGTTTCTATTAGCAACCGTACTGGCTTTTGAACATTTATATCTTTTTCTGTTTGTTTGTTTGTTTGTTTGTGTTTCTGTTATTTATTTCGATTGATTTATTCAATGATTTTTCCGTTAATGATCTTCTCTGGACTTTCATATTAAAGGTTACAAAAGTGTATATCAGAAGATAAATTAAATACCTCTTCTGTCCCTTAGTAGTTGCTAGATGATAACTGTTTTATACATTCGTAAAATTTTCTATAGTTACTCTGTTAATCTGTGTCACGGACGTGATGCCTTTGACAGAATGAGCTTTGCAGAAGTTAACATATTTTCAGATGTTTTTTTTGTTTTTTACAGAGAGTAGAAACAAAGTGATTACTTTCATATTGTAAACCAATTTAATGTAATTACCAGACCGTCATTATTTTTTAAAGTTCAATTTTTATCTGTTACACATTTTTCAAGGGTCATTTATATTTGTAGTGATTATCTTTCAAAAATGATTTCTTTTTAAATCAAGTGATTTACTTCTGTTGTCTTAGCCATGTTAACCTGTGGGATTTCATCTGCCGCTTTGTCACTGATGACCTTTTTCTATGTCACAGTTGAATTATCAAATCAGAAGCTGATCTGGTTGTTTAAAATTTCACCAAAAATTGATTTGAAAATCTTTTGTTTTGATTTTATCCACAATATCTCTTTGATATTTCTGTGTTTGTAATCGTTTTTCTAATTGCTGATAATATGTTTTTGTTTTTGAGTTATAACCTATTAGAAGTCCAGAACTACTATAATTAGCACTTTACTGTGAACTCACCCATCTCGTATGTTGTCCATATTTTTCTGTTTCGAACCAAATTTCTGATTAGTGTTTTAATTTTAAATGAAGTATTTTGAAATAATTGCTGTTAGACATGATGGCTCAGAATGAAACACATTTATATTCACTTCAGATTCAATATTTGTATAATTTCAATGGGACAATGTATTTTAGTCAATGCTTTTATTTATAGGAAATTATTTTGATATATTGAAGCAACGTTACCCCACAACCACTACAATCTTAATAATGAAATGTAATTTAAAACAATTATATGAATTATTCCAACTATCTGCTTTCATTGTGTCCTTGGGCAAGACACTTAACCCCACTTTTCCTTATGTCCCTAGAAACTAAATCCTTATTTAATCATCATTGTGTGTCTGAGTTGTTTTGTAATACAGATGTATCTGGAGCTTTTACAAGATCTGAGCCATAATTATCAACATTATCAAATATTATTATACATAACAAATTAAGTCTGGATACATCTCACTTTGCGTGTAATGAGACTTAGTTTCATATTAAGTTAAATTACAGAAGTAAACTTTTGAACAATATTCTAATTTTATGAGTTTCACCCGTATAGAAAATCCTGCTTTTTACATTCATAGCCTCTCCACATTTCTGTTTCTGTTACTGCCCTATTTACTCTAACCAAAACTGCACTGTCCATTTAAGAAGATGCTTACTTTGTGTATATGTTGTGAGGCGACCTTTAGTGCCCAGAAATGTGCCAAATAAAATGTTATATTTAGGATTGTAGTCCAAATTTCAACTCTGTAAAGTCTTTCAGTCAAAACACATGGTCTAAGTGTGGTTCCTCATTCACTCCGGTCCTGCGTCATCAGATTCTTTGAACGATTATCTGATTATAGCGTTGTGCCGAAAAGGGAGCGGACGGGATAAAAATAGAACATCTGTTTCTCACTATAGTTTTATGGCTGTACTTCCCACACAACCTGGCACATATTTACATGTTAACCTAATTACATGGTCACTCGCTCTGTGGTCCACTCAGACAGCTAAAGTTTCCTGCCTCTTGACGTCACATATTCCTTTTCTGCAGAAGACTGTATCAATATCCAGAACTAAAGACATGTTTTTGTTCCATTTGGGATAACACAACTTAGAGGAATTGAGGAGGATGCTGTAACACAATATGCTAAGGACATCCTCAGGAAAAGTCTCATAGGCAACAACATGGTGAAGGAAATGTATGGTAAGATTTTAAAGAAGAACTTATGTTGTAGTTTTATCTCTTCAAGATGATAATTATATTATGGCATTTCATGTTTTAGAACATGAGAAGAAAAGCTGTAAAAGCCTAAAATAGTCTCTAGACCGAAATAGTCTTGTTTACGTTTTTTGAGCAAGTCTGATCACATCATGCGGTCTTTATTATCTTAGAAAACATCTGATGTTTTACATACTGTGAGCTGATTGGCTGAGTGAGGGTTGGTACTTTATTTTTAGCAATAATGCAAATTTAAGGATGTGACCAAAAATGGCCTCATGTGTGAAAACTATTGAACCAAACAGAGCTAGGAACTAGTTAGATTTTATTACATGGTTTCTGTAGGGCGGACTGTAGCTCAGTTGGTAGAGCATTGGCCTTAAGGCCAGAAGGTCGTGGGTTCAATTCCCACCTCTGCACCTTCTCCACCGACTCCCACTGATGACTGCTGTCGTTGTGTCCTTGGGCAAGACACTTAACCCCACTTTGCCCAAAGCCCCCACTGAAAGATCAAGGCTATGCTCACACTCAGAGAGCAGCCGTCCTCCTGTGGACTCACCACCTGCAGAAGGTCAGTGAGGGGCTGGTGCTATGAGACTTGGGTGGCATCTCTGACTGCCACCCCCCTGACCCAGAAATGGATTAAAGGGTAGAAAATGGATGGATGGATGGATGGTTTCTGTAGTTTCAAAGTTAGGTACTCCAGCTTTAAAGTGGACATATCGTGTTTTCAAATAATTTATTTTTACATCTAAATCATTAATTTGTGGCCTATATAAAGCGTAACTGCAATGCCTGGGTCTGAGTCTCATTATTTGTATCTCCACGGGCCTTTCTTCTACACCTGTTCTGAGGTGCGTCTGAGAGCAACCTGTTTTGGTGCTATCTCTTTAAATGCAAATGAGGTGCTTTTGACCACGCCCCCATTCAGGTGACACAGGTTCAACTCCACCCTGAGCAGCCATTTTTGTAGTTTCTAAGCACAGATACAATTATCTCATAGAAACTTCTCATTACATCGCAAACATGAAGCAGTCCTTCCTCATTGACTGAAAGCAAATGTTAATTTTCATTCTTAGTCCAGTCTTATTATCGACTCTTCTCTTTTTAGCTTTGGGATCCATGCGCACAGTCTATGATGCTCACTAGAGTTTCGTTCGGGCCTGAAAAATGAAGCCCGACCCGGCCCGAGCCCGCTAATGTTAAGCCCGAGCCCGTATAAGCCCGACCAATGAACGCTGTATAACAGGCCCGAGCCCGACAGAACCCGACACATCTGATTTCCCGTTGTACGCACTCACCTTCCAATTGCAAGTTTAGTCTCCACTTTTGAATTGGTTTTGTCTCCACTTGATCCATTTCTACTATTGTTCCTGTTCGCTGTTGACCACAGCAGCAGGAGACACGGGGATGATGCGTTCACGGCTCGCTGCTGCTGTAGGACATGCTGGTTACGGTGTCATTAATATATTAACTTTATTTAATAACTTGTTGTCAATCAACGGACATTGTTATTAATATATATATATGCATATCATTATGTATAAAAAATCATTTAAAAATAATTATAATAATAATAAAAAAGAAACATATATTTAAAAAAAGAAGCCCGAGCCCGGCACGAACCCGACAGCTGAGCGCCAAATGAGGCCCGAGCCCGGCCCGAACTCAGGTCGGGCCTCGGGCCTGCTCGGGCTCGGGCTGAAAAGCGAAACTCTAATGCTCACACGCCGGTTTGCTTACAACAGCGGCCGCCTGGCGCGGGCCTACGTCGCAGGATATGACGCACTACGTTGACAGAAATGTTTACATTGAATATTACTTATGCATAATTTTACAGCATTTAAAAACGTTAAGAACGTTTTTCCTTCTACAGAAGGAAAGAGACTTATGCGCCTCCTGAGCAGCAGGTTGCCGACTCCTAGTTTATACAGTATGTGGAAGCAAATACTGTAGAGGATCAGGATATGTGCAGTTTCAACAATAAAATAAAATGCAATAGTCTACATTACAAGAGAGTAATGAACATGTCTCAGAGTGAGGGAGGTGGACACAGACAGCACTATTGTTTGTTACAGGGACGAGAATTGGTCAAAAAAGACTGAAATGCATATTGTCAGCCATTTGCTGGCTCTAAATCTGTTTAATTTGTTCACAACATATTACTTTTGGGCTCAGACATGAACTTTTAATGCAATGCAAAATGTAGGTATCAGAGCTTTATTTAGGGCGTTTAATCGCGCTTCGAGAGGAGAGGGGAGACGCGGACTGTTTCCTGCAGCAGTGTATTTATTGGGTGCACAGATTACTCAAAGACACGCATGGTCCTGTGCACGTTTATGGGGTTGGGTACATGGCCACGTTGAGGCTGCGCGCTCAACCACAACAAGGTGGAGCGGCTGCGAGCGGCTGGACTCACAGCCTCTCGCAGCCGCTGGACGCGGAAGCTGCTCATTACAAAGCGGCCGCAGATGCCCCAGAACACTGCGGCCGCTGAGGTGGCGGAATCCCGTTCGAGTACATACAGCAGGTGCCCGCGGATACGCGCGCCCCGCTTGAACAATTCTCAACGGATTTACACTTCTCATAAACATGTGTTTTGTATGAGGCAGACAGACCGGCCCAAATATGGGCATCGGCCCTTTGGGCATTGCCCGGTACGCCCGATGGCCAGTCCAGCCCTGTGCGCTGGCATCCTTGAGCTTGGACTACAAATTCAAAGTGATGCACAGAAGAGGAGGGCTGGGCCGAAGTGTTTTGTTAGACGCCCATGCCCTTATATAGCAGTCTCGCTGCAAATACTGTGACGTAATAATTCTAAACACGTAATAGAGAATGGCAAAATCAGAACGGGTTGAAAAATCTTACCTAAACAGAATATGAAGTGTTCTCTGCAACCCATGAAGAGACTGATTTCAACTTTTTTGCACTTCTAGAGGCTCCAACTACACAACATAAGGCATTTAAGGCACAAAAAGTGGATTTTTCATGATATGTCCCCTTTAAGTAGTAAAAAACTGCATGCAACTTTAGTCTGCCACCAGAGGAAGGGATTGAATTTGGTTTTCAGCATCAAACCTTTTTGAGCTGCAAATATAGCCACACAGTTGCAAAGTCTGTTTTTGATGATAGAATGCTTTTGTATCATGGTTAAAAGGTTATTTGTTTTGTTTTTCTTGTTAAAGGTTTTGGTTTTGCGGTGATCAAAATGAGCACAAATTTGCTTTATACATGAAGATTGGATCATTTTTACACTAACTCCTCATTTTCACCTTGTTACTATTTAAGTTGTCATAGATATTGAATCGACTGTTCTGTGTTTGTAGTGTGCAGTTCGAGCGGCGACTCAGGGCCGTGTGCTGGTGTTGGAGGGGCTGGAGAAAGCGGAAAGAAACGTGCTGCCGGTGCTCAACAATTTGCTGGAGAACAGAGAGATGCAGCTGGAGGACGGACGCTTTCTCATGTCAGCCGAGCGCTACGACAAATTACTGCAGGTCAATACTCTCTTTTGAGTTTAGTGAGATTTTAAAATCTGTCAAGATTTAAGAGGCCACAGAATGTGCGCAGAGCACAGAATTAAAGCGGTGATAATGAAAGAAAAGTATCGTTATCCTCCATTTTTTGGTGCGGTTTAAGTGTTTTTCCCAAGGACACAAGTGGGAGTCAGTAGGGAAGGCGGGCTCGTGGAGCGCTCAAACCCACGACTGTCAGGCTCAAAGGCCAATACTCTGCCAACTGAGCCACTGGCGCCCACTGTGTTGTTATCTTATGACTGTATTTTTACTATACAAAAGTCTCTGGTTTTTGTTCTGTAGGCATCATCAGGAACCAAAGCCTGGCTCAGACAGGCTGCTTTGATTAGCTGCTGAAGATTCATTTATTTGTCTTCTTTGACTTAGGGAGGAATTTGGTTCAGAGCCATGAGTCTGCTGCATTCAAATTTAACAGTAAAACAAAACAGAATGAAGACCCCATTCAGTGCTTAAAGTACTCGCTCCCTCGCTCACACACTTACTCAGATTTTGTAACAAATAACTGTAAACTGAATTATAGACATGAAGACCTAATCTGGCATAAAATATAACATCTAATCTATCAAACTCCCACTGAGGTCTGCTGTCGTTGTGTCCTTGGGCAAGACACTTAACCCCACTTTGCCTGAAGCCCCTGCTGAATAAACAAGGCTCCTGTGGACTCGCCACCTGCAGGAGGATCAGTGAGGGGCCGGTGCTCTGTGTACTGGGTGCAGCTCTGACTGCCACCCCCCCCGACCCAGAAATGGATTAAGGGGAAGAAAATGGATGGATGGTTGGATCGAATCAATCACTGGATCATATAGTGTTCATGTCTCACAGCAAGAAGGTCACATGTTCAATTCCCTTGTGGGCTGTGACCTTTCTGTGGAATTGGCGCTTTGCTCCCCAAGTCTGGCAAGGTCTCCTCCGGACAGTCCAGTTTCTTCAGAAAGTTTTCCTGTCGAGCAATAACATCTGGAGATGGGTCCCTGGGTGTTGCACTGTAGAGACCACTCCTCTTGACAGGTTGCCATAGTGTCATTGAAGAGTGGGTCAAATGCAGAGGATGCATTTCCCTTCGGGACATTAAGGAATACTTTAACTCTTAACTTTTAAAATAGACAAAGCTACATGAATTACTTGTCATTTGTCATTTCTTGTTATTATTTTTTGGCTATTTGTATTCTTTCATACAGCCTTTTTTGTATATTTTGGGAAAGGAACTCTGACTCATCAATGATGTTCTAGAAATGTTATGGTTTTGTGTCACCCAGGACCACACTAAAGAGGAGTTGGACAGCTGGAAGATTGTCCGTGTGAGCGAGGACTTCCGGGTCATTGCTCTCGGTATTCCTGTTCCCAAGTACAAGGGGAATCCTCTTGATCCACCGCTCCGCTCTCGGTTTCAGGCCAGAGACATTTATTACTTACCATTTAAGGTAGGACCACTGATTACAATATAGGAAAGATCACAGTATTTGAGAAAAATTATTTATTAAAGGTTTAATGATGGGTTAACTTTTGTAGTTACTTTTAGAACATTGTGATCACTGGTGTTTGTTTGTAAGAAACATGACTCAAAAAAGTCATGGGAGGATGTGTATAAAATCTACCGGAAACATGTGTAATGATTACATTTGGGAGGTGATCCAATTCATCGTCTGAAAGCAGGATTTTCGGTACTGGGCCTAGAGGCTGATGTCTGCACTCTAAAAATGCTTTTCTAGTTCTCAGTCGTATCATTTATTTCATGAATTTACTGGAGGGCCCTTTCCTTTTGTGGACGTATAATATCCCTTTCTTAAATATTTCAGGACCAGCTAGAGTTGTTGTACACAGCTGGGCCAAACATTGGTGCAGAGAGGTACGTTCACATTTCCAGGTAATTTAAATAAAGTACTAACCCTGTTGTTACTTCAGGGTGTCACAGTTGTTATCATTAGCAACTACGCTATGCTCCCAGGAATCATCCAACCTGGGACTACCTGACTTTCCAGTGGACAACCTGCCATCAGCTCTAGAAATGCTGGTATAAAGCACAAAGCTAAAATATTTACAAGAACATATTGTTTGCACAGTCACATTTGCCTTTTGCTTAACTGCTATGTTGTGTTGTAGAACGTGTTTCCCATGTTGTCATCACAGCAGTTTGTACAAAGACTGTATCCTTACAAAAGCATCTTGGGAAAAGAGGGATGCACTGCTGTGGAGAATGTTCTCAGTGTAAGAAAAAGATTACAAATGAATGGTTCCAACTGTATTAAATAACACAACATCTCTTTCTATTTTAGAGATTTGAGCTCCTGGATGGTCGTAGGCAGCAAGCACCAACCCATGTTCTGAATGTTTCACCTGTTAACAATTCAAAGGGCCATGCAGTGGTGTCTTTAGATGTGGCTGGAAAAGAAGTGACCATTGAGGTAAGTTTAAAGTCAGAAAACGTTGGACGTGTTGAGTATTATCCTCGCACTCTCACGTTAGACCACACACCTACACACACTGCACATTATATGATAAGCCTTATCTCTGTGGGATTGATGCAATTGTCTGGGAAGCCAATGTCTTTGAATTGGCTTCCTAGAGTGTGAATGAGTCACAATGTGGGTTTGAAAGATATGCCATTGTTCTATTTTAGTGAGCTACATCTTCCAGCAAAACTTATGGAATTACTTGTTTCTGACCAATGCCTTTTCTGTAATTAGCCTGAATGCTTTTGTTTATTTATAGCAATATATTGTGCTATTCTTAAAAGCATTTTTTTCTTTGCAGGTGCAGTCTGGGATCAATGAACTACGTCAGCCCAACCACACTCCACTGTTCGTCAGCACACAGAGCCAGTCGCAGCTGATCGCAGAGCTGATCCAGTCACATTTGGTCAAGGATATATGTCTCATTGGAGCTAAGGTCATTACCCAGTCCATTTCAGAATTTTTACATCTCTTGCTGTCTTTGCAACCTGTAAGTCAACATTGCGTTTCCTCTAGGGCTCCGGCAAGTCTGCAGTTGCCAGAGAGTTTGCCGAAACATTGGGATACAGTGTTGAGCCGGTGATGCTTTACCAGGTAATTTTTTTGTATGTGTTTGTTAATGCTGTAATTTACAGTCAATCCTGACAAAATCACATTGACAAAATACATAGTTCAGGCATTCTTTAATACCTGGTTGCCTTTCCAAGGAGACATGTCTTAAGAGAAAGAGCACATCCAGCCTCCTTCCAAAGCATGTCTGCCTTAGTTAGACTGCAAAGCAGTATACTGTAGCAGGAGATAAGACACACCTCCATTTCCACACAGTCACAGCTTCACAATGAGACCTCTCAGCAACAAGGTTCTGCGTTCGAATCCCGGTTGGAACAGGGCCTCTCTGAGTGGAGTTTGCATATTCTCCCCGTGTCTGCGTAGGTTTCCTCCGGGTACTCCGGTTTCCCCTACCACTAAAAACATGTGCAATAGTTCAGGGTGAATGAGTGTGTGGTTGTGAGTGCGAATGTGGGACAACGGATGGAAATTAGCCCATGGCTACAATCCGGAGTGATGTGTTCATTTACATGTACTGTCCCAACCAAATAAACAATAAAAAAATAAAAAACAGGGCAGTCTGACCAGGCCTGGTCCCATTTGCATACGTTGCCAAGACGACTGGCTGGAGCGAACAGTGAATACAATATATTTTAGCCACATATTACTTAAAAACATTCCAATTACAGTGTTGAAATATACTGACAGTGTGATATAAGAGCTGGCAAAATAATGTGAAAACTGGAGCGAGCAGGTCACACCTCCATGATATTCATGATGTGATGCCTCTGACCATCTGCTCATCTCTGGACCATATTGTGTAAATTTATGCCTCATCTCTTTTTGCACTATTTTATTTACGTAATTCTAATTGACAGATTGGGAAAGTACATTTGGAAGAAGACACAGGACTCTCCATTTAACTGTACGTTCTTTATCCAAGAACTATTTAGCATTCACGATTTACTGATTATATAGAACCACGTATCGTTCACAATTGTTCACTGATGACACGCTGTGCTTTTTGTTTTGGGTTTGCAACAGTCACTTTTTTCCACTCCCTGAGGCTTGGTAGTGTTTCCCTCTGAAAATCTGGAAACCCTGATTGTCATTTGGGTCATGATTGCACAGGAAGCGGGTGTGCATAAGCCATATGTATTTATGCATCATGCACAAGTTATTTTTAGCGCAGTGGGGTTAGAGGTGACTTGCGCTGCGGGAATTGCAAAATCATTTTTTTCATTTTTTGTCTACTCTTGTGACATGAAGGGCCAACTGTTTTCCCTTTTCCTGGAATTTATTTGTTTAAACAATAAAAATGGCTTAATTTACCTGTTTTACTGTTTTCTCTTTCCTATTCTTGTTTATAGGACATGACTGCAAGGGACCTACTCCAGCAGAGATTCACTCTTCCTAATGGCGACACAGCATGGAGGCCCTCTCCTCTTGTCGTTGCAGCATTGGAAGGCAAGCTTCTGCTGCTGGATGGGATACACCGGGTAAATCTAGGAACTTTGGCTGTATTATCAAGGTATTCAACACATTTAAATCAAATGAGCTGTAGCAGATATTTTTACTTTGTTACATTTGTTACTTATGTTACTTGTTTTGTATTCAAGGTTACTACATGACAGGGAGTTGGACCTATATGATGGAACCAGGCTTCTGCGATCGGACAGATACCAAGCATTGAAAGAAGAACTGCAGTTTACTGACCAGCAACTTCAAGAAAGGTATATGTCAACAAATGTGTTGTCATTTCCTTTGTAAATTTGTGTAGAGGGGTCAAACCTCAAATGGTATTTTCAAACGCATACAAAGCTAAAGTATACCCAACAACAACAACAAAATAATCACAGTTTCAAATGGACAACTGTCAATCAAAATGTTCTTTTCTCAAACTGCGCTCCATGTATTTTCACGCTTTCTATGTTTACAAGCGCATGTGTGTGAAAACCACTGTAGTCGGCAGGAAGGATGTTTGTGGTAGGGAGTCTGGGCTGAAATAAACCTACTTCCTCTTCCCTTAGTCTGTGGCATGGGCAAAATGTCTGAGTTGGCCAGAATTAGATTTTTTGCCTAAGCTCCGAGGAGCAGATTTTAGTTTGTATAAACGTGCTAATATAAGGGAAACTGCCTGTTGCTTAGTAACAATGTGTTAAATTTTGTTTCCATGTGACAACTGAATCTAATTTTGCTTTTATGTGCCCACGAGGTGTTCAAGAGAATTCTCACAATTTTATTGTGATTTCAAATATCAATACATTATGCTGTACAAGAATATAACATTACAGTTCAGTCTGTCTTATATACAGTTCACTAAAAACCATAAATATTATGCTCTTATTGTTAAAAAAAAAAACAAGACGAGCATAAAAAAAAATCAGTATGCTGCATTGTATTGATATATCGCACATGTATGTGGGGACCCATGGGTGATGTTGTTGGAATTGATACTGATATATAGTGCCCCTTTATCTATCTATTATGCCTGTTACTACGACTACTAAACAATGCAACTAAAACAATTAACCTTAAGATTATATTCAACGGTTGGGGCTCTCAGTCTATAACAATTTATAATCAAGTTAAAATAGCTCTGAAACCCATGGATAGTGTCAGCAGTGGGGGGCTGAGGGGGAGGCTCTGGAAGTGCGGTGCTGAATGTCTGCTGAATGAATGTGGATGTTATTTGTTTGGAATTTTGTTCCTTTTTTTGTTGTAAATTATAAAATGTGTGTTCTTTCTGTTGTCCCATGACCCCCTTGAAAAAGAGATGGTTTATCTCAAGGGGTTATCCTTAAGAATAAATAAATAAAACCTTACGATGTTTACAAACATTACAATGCAATACAATACAATACAATACAATTTACTCTTGTATAGCCCTAGGTCACAACAGAAGTCATCTCAGAGGACTTAACAAAACCATTGAAATCACCAACACAGATCAGAGAATCAACATTTAAAACACATGAAAAATGTAAAGCACACGCAGAAGAAAATGTCCATACATGTTGAAGAATGCTAAAGTGTCCTGGATTATCACCAATCCTTTCTGTTGGACACTAATTGTCCAACAAGACCCTCCTGCATCGACAAGGAAAAACTCTTAAAAAACCCAGTGGGAAAAAGTGAGAAACCTTGGGGAGACTAGGGAAACCCACAGGGAGGAAGACCCATTTATTTCTATGCATCTGTACCTTCATTTAACATTTGAATACTTACTGAAAACGAGTTGATGTCCTGTCCTCCAACAAAGGAGGACATTCTGTAATGATAGCTTGTGCTACCCACCTAAGTGTAAATATATCCCAGTGCATGTGGGCTTTTCCGCGGAGTGATAGAAACGGATTCTGCTGTCCTCTCGAATCACAAGATTACACAGCCAGCTGTCAGAGAACCTGCCTGAGTGGCTGACGGTGATTCATTTGGACATGTATGCCACAAACACCACTGGCACCTGCACTTACACCCATTTACATGGAGCAGATGGTTTGATGGCTATTTCTCCTTATACTTATCCTGCTCTTGAATCTTTATTTTACAGATCCATCTTTCCTATACACCCGTCTTTCCGGGTTCTGGCGCTAGCAGAGCCCCCAGTGGTTGGTGCCAATAGTAGCAGCAGCAAAGGTCAGCAGTGGTTGGGTCCAGAACTGCTTACAATGTTTCTCTACCACACTGTCACACCGATGAGCAAGGCAGAAGAGATGCAGCTCATAGAGGGGCTGGTAAGCATACAACACACAATACAACAGGGTTTGTCTTCTTTCATCTGAACATTTTATTTGAATAATAATAATATAATATAATATAATTGTAATATTTACACTAATATAGCCTGTTTTGAAATGTTGATGTATTATTATTTATTTACATGTATGCACAAGATATACAATTATTCACAGAAAAATAGAACAAGATAATAAGAGAAAAAATGTCTGTTATCTGAAAATTGACTGATCATAAAACATTGAAGTTCAGTATATCAACTTATACATGCCTATTTTTGAACTGTGTTTACTACACTGTAAATCAATTAATTTCTGAATGTGTTTCTTGTCCTAGGCTCCCAATGTACCAAAGGAGGCTGTAGAGCAGCTCCTGCACCTCACTCACAGCCTACGCAGCACGCATGACCCTACGGTGAGCGTGTGGATATGTCAGCAGCACTGAGCAATTTGTTTCTGCATGTTGAGTCTGTCTTGATTAATTTATGCATGGTATTTGTCTACAGGCGCAGTCTCTGGCCTCTTCTCTCTCTACTCGACAGCTGCTGAGGATCTGCCGCCGTCTCTCTGAATATCCTGAGGAGAGTATTGCTTATGCAGTCAACAAGGCCTGTCTGTCTCGGTACAAAAGTATTTTTTGTAACAGTACTGGTTCATTAAAACCATCTACATTGCAGTATCTAGTATTTAGACACTTATTCTTGCATTAGTAGCCCAATGTATTTGGTGTAGGCAGTTGTTGTTTTGGGTTACAGCATGTTGTCACGTCCCCTTCTGCCCTCTTATTGCCCTTAACCACTTTAGGAATTATTTAATCATGCCTCAGACATAGTTTAGGTGGTATTTAGGAAAATTAAATCCTTATCCATTTGTTTTTCTACTCAAGGTTTTTGCCCAGTCTTGCACGTGCCTCTCTGCAAAAAAGCCTTTCCAACGCTTCTATAGAAAACAGACCAGAACTCGGAGAAGATTCTCAAAGCTACAATTGTAGGTTTACTATAACATCTCATAACCATTTAAGAAACAATTTATTTTTAATTGTTTGTCTGCTTTATCTCATTTAGGTGCAGTAAAAGATGGTGTTTTGACAATAGGGGGTGTGTCAGCTCCTGTGTATAACCCTGATATGAAGTTGAAAGTCCCAGATGTGCTATTCTATGATAATCCACAGGTAATCCGTCTTTGTAAAATATAGAATATAGTGAATATTTAGATTTAACTTGCCTCATTAGCTTTCCATTCTTAGATATTTACTGTTTTCAGAGTGAGTTGGATTTGGAGACTGGCCCAACGTGATTATGTTTGCATCATTTCCCTATGTCTGCATTGGCTTCCGGGGGCTCAGAATTTCCCTACTAGTAAATCAATAAGGCACATAGTCCCAGGACATGGAAAATAGCCCATCCATCCATCCATCCATCCATTTTCTTCCGCTTTATCCGTTGCCGGATCGCGGGGGCATCAGTCTAAGCAGAGACGCCCAGACTTCCCTATCCACACACACTTCCTCCAGCTCGTCCGGGGGGACCCCAAGGCGTTCTAAAGCCAGCTGGGAGACATAGTCCCTCCAGCGTGTCCTAGGTCTTCCCCGGGGCCTCCTCCCAGTGGGACGTGCCCGGAACACCTCCCCAGGGAGGCGTCCAGGAGTCATCCGGAACAGATGCCCGAGCCACCTCAACTGGTTCCTCTCAATGTGGAGAAGCAGCGGCTCTACTCCGAGCTCCTCCCGTGTGACTGAGCTCCTCACCCTATCTCTAAGGGAGCGCCCAGCCACTCTGCGGAGGAAGCTCATTTCGACCGCTTGTATCCGCGATCTCGTTCTTTCGGTCATTACCCAAAGCTCATGACCATAGGTGAGGGAGGGAACAAAGATTGACCGGTAAATCGAGAGCTTTGCCTTTCGGCTCAGCTCCCTCTTTACCACAACGGTCCGATACAGCGACCGCATCACTGCGCACGCTGCACCGATCCGCCTGTCAATCTCACGCTCCATTCTTCCCTCACTCGTGAACAAGACCCCGAGATACTTGAACTCCTCCACTTGAGGAAGGACCTCTCCACCCACCTGTAGAGGGCAAGGCACCTTTTTTCAGTCGAGCATCATGGCCTCGGATTTGGAGGTGCTGATTCTCATCCCATCCGCTTCACACTCGGCTGCAAGCCGCCCCAGTGCATGCTGCAGGTCCTGGTTCATTGGAGCCAACAGGACAACATCGTCTGCAAACAGCAGAGATGAAATCCTGTGGAAAATAGCCCCTATAGGCTAATTCTGGCATATTTTCATGTATAATTTATATTAATTTGCACTGTCCCTTTAACAAATCAGCGAATAAAAAATAAATAAAAACATGTACAATAGACCCCTTACCTCTGGGGCCAGGACTCTTTTGGGGAAAAAACACATTCTGAAATCTCAGTGGGCCTATCTGGGGTATTATAAACAATATAGACAAAGCTCTTCCCCTTAAAGAGTATAGTTAGTTGACGTGATAAAAACAAGAGATCCACAACAGAGTGGGTCTGTTCCAAGGACAGTACAGTATTCAACACTTGTAGTGGTTTACAACCTACGACTGCCGGCCTTTTGTGAAGATTACATTTTTGACTGTCCTCATTCTGCCCTTTTACACTGGCCACTTCTAGTGCTGAAATAGTTTTTATAGAAGCATGGCCTACTTTTGACCTGACCCGTTTTCTCTCCATAGTTTGTATCTATTTGATTTATTGTTGGGAAATTACATTTTAAATGTCTTTCTACAGCACATGAAGGTGATGGAGGACATGCTGAAAGACTTTCTTTTAGGAGAACACCTTCTCTTAGTGGGCAACCAGGTGAGTCATAAAATATTTTTTTAATTTATTCACTAAATTTAGGTTTATCAAGTCAAGTTGTTTGCAGAGTGTAATTAAGAGCGCACTACAAAAGATACATGCACATTATTCATGTAACAAATGGGTAAAGATTTCATCATGACACAAAAATGCTCATGAACACCTACCCCCTCATTCATGTCTCCATCAATCATTAGTGTCACATCCACATTTACCCGAACTTTTAAACCCATTCACTGGTTGTGACAAAGACATCTTGCGCATCTTGGCAACGGAGTTAGGGATTTATTATAGCACCACACAGACCTGTTGTAACATGGCCACTGCACACAAGTGCATTCTTGAAGCGTCTTTGCTCCATTCCTCCTGGTTCATATTATAGCTAGTGTTAGCCCTCAATATATTGAAACGGTCTATACCTACGTTTTAGTTGTCAACATTTGTCAATAAAAGCAATTTATATGAATCTATAACTTAACCATTCATCCCTGTTATGTTTCTTGGAAAGCTGGATCGTAAATACGAAATACTATACTATACTGGATATACTACACTTTTCAATTTTGAATTTGAAAAAATATGAATGAAAATCATTTATATTAGTCTTTAGTCTTTCCCATAAAATGCCAATACTGTGTTTTATTTTTGTTTTCTAAAGGTACATCATCATGTGTGTATTTTATTTTTTGTGGTTGTGAAGGAAATAAAAGGATTTATTTCCTCAAACGATCATCATGCACATTTGAAATAGCTGTCCTGGAAAACAGACCTTGTCACACCATGGTGCCATCAAAATGAAGGAACAGGAGCACACACTGGCACCGGCCCACAGATGGACTCAATCCATTTTATCTGTGATATTTGTTGAATTTTACACAGGAAAAATATTTTTTTTTTCTAATTGCAGGGTGTTGGAAAAAATAAAGTTGTCGACCGATTTTTGCACCTTCTGAATAGACCCAGAGAATACCTACAGCTCCATAGGTAAAGTGCTATTTACAGATGTTTTTTAATCCTGTTTGTAATGCACACTATATCACACATGAAGATGAAAATTAGGTCAAAATTGTATTCCCCTTACACCAGTGTGGCTCTGTCTCCAATCAATAAGGCACATAGATTGTCCTTTTATTGATCTGTGCACTAATAAGAAGACACTGCTCTGTGTGTCAATGGAAGAAATTAAAGCAAAAAATAAAGGGCATGTTCTAGTAAAGTAAAACTCTCGTTTGTTTGTAAATATTAGAAACTTGTTTTTTTGACATTTTCTCTTTCAGTTGAACTTTTGTACTTTTGTGATGGTTTACTTTATAAATGTTTAAATGAATGGCCTACCGACAATAGATTGACAAAATCCAAAGACCAAGGCACATTCAAAGTCCTGTGAAAGTCAAAGAAGAACTAAAAGTGGATTTGGCCTGGTTCACTAATGTCCCTGCAGCTAATATTAGTGCAGTCTAAGATCTGTACATGAAAATCTGCAGAGATTTGGCTCAGAGATGCACTAGATGCCGAGAGCTAAGCAGGAAGGAAACTAGGACAGCCCCTGGGTCAAACTACAGCCATCAAAGACCATTCTTTTTAATGTAATGAAGTAAAGCTATGTTATAAATGAACTTAGACTTAAATGTTCTCTAAGTGTTAAGAGCCTTGTATGTTTTAGGGATACAACTGTACAAACACTGACACTTCAGCCTTCAGTCAGAGATGGGATAATTATCTATGAAGATTCCCCTCTGGTCAGTTGCAGTGTTGAAGTGTTTCAATATTCTTGCAAGCTAACACTGTTTTTATAACCTTTATTATTTTTGACTGACAGGTAAAAGCAGTTAAAATGGGGAATATCTTAGTAATCGATGAGGCTGACAAAGCCCCCACAAATGTCACCTGTATCCTCAAAACGCTTGTGGAAAGTGGAGAGATGATTCTAGCAGATGGACGAAGAATCATTTCTGGTAATGAGAATGACAGAAATACGTTCAACACAATCTACCATGTGTGAAGCCCCACATGCTCTGGTCCAAATATAGACATAGCACATCCTCCACACTCTGAAATGTTTGAAATGTTAATCTTAAATTTTTCTCTGTTTAGATCCACGAGAATCAAGTAATAGACCAAACTCCATAGTCATGCACCCGGACTTCAGGATGCTGGTCTTGGCCAACAGACCTGGTTTCCCTTTTCTGGGGAATGACTTCTTTGGCGCGTTAGGTGACCTACACTACAATAGCCCTTTTTGCTGCAGATATAAATACTACCTTTTCTGCAACCTCTAAAAGAGGTAGCATCATTTCTATTTTTCCACAAGGGAAAAAGATGGGAGACCCCACAAACTAAAATCACCATGGGATTTTGTTTTTGTAAAATTGTAATTTAAGAATTCTATTTATAAATTACCAAGTTATGTTTTGATATTTGAACATTGTTTTTCAATATGCAGTCAGGAGGAGAATAGGAAAACTGAATGTTTTGTGTCCCACATTGTTCAATGTTATTTTGTGAACAGGTGATATCTTCAGCTGCCATGCAGTGGACAATCCAAAGCCTCAGGCTGAGCTGGCGATGCTGAAACAGTATGGTCCAGGCGTGCCCGACTCCACTCTGCAGAAGTTGGTGGCCGCTTTCGGAGAGCTGAGGTCTATGGCAGACCAGGGCACCATCACTTACCCCTACTCTACCAGAGAAGTTGTGAACATTGTCAAACACCTGGAGGTGAGACAATTCAGGACCAGTCTCTTTTATTCCATGAGCTGTTGTCTATATTATAAAACACTTCCCATAATGACTGAATTGCATTATGTAGTGCTTAATCTCACCTGTAAACCATTTGTTTTTGTTTTTTTGTCTCTTACCTGCCTGTCAAACCCACCTGTTTCTCCTGATCTGAAAAACTGTAATAATGAGTTAATCTTGCAATTTTTCCTTCAATTAATTTGTTCTTTAGATTAATAAAAACTGAAATTATCATAGTATCATTATAAAGAAGAAATTTAAACAATAACTTAAAAAAAAAAAAATTTACTGCTCTGTTTGAATAAAGAATAATTAAAGTCACATGCAGCGATAAAAGCACTCCCACATGCCCATTCTAGGCTTTCTGGAGTGTACGGTGGGAACTACACCCTCTGCGTAATGTGTTTTGTGCCGATTGGACAATGCTTAAGGCAGGTGTAGCTGCAGAGTTGTGTGCATGCATGGACTCATCAGGTTCATCATGGGGCAGTGATCTAATTCATATTTAAGCTTAACTCTTACGGCTCTATCACTGTGCACAACCCCCGCCCACTTTCCCTTAAGATTCCACATCTAGATACTGCTGTTGGTCATACAGAGACATCGGTCTAATCAATTACTTCAGTATACAATGACTTGAGTATTGTAACAGCCCTATATACTGTTTCTTGAATAACATTCTTGAAGGCTTTCTTTGCATACAATTGTGTTATGTACTGTGAGAGAGGGGTAACTAACTACAAAACACAAAGACCATCAGATCTCAGGCATGAGATAAATACGGGTTTTGACTTGTTCTATTCTCAATCAATAATTCAGTACACAAGTCTGTCTGATTTCCCTGCAGGCCGCTCTGTCCTGTCATCCCTCCCTGCTGCTATTGACATTTGGAAGAGAAGAAGAAAAGACTGATTTTTACAGGGCGAAATTGTAGATTGAAAATATTTATTGCAATTTCATATTTCTTGTTAGATCAATATAAAATACTTGTCTGTGTTCAAGTTGAGATTGGCCATGGATTTGTATTGATTTTCATCATGTGGTGACAGGCCTGAGACCTGAATTATACGTCACGATAAAGATCTTGTTGCTCAATTACAAAAGTCAGCATTGAGGTTAGACTGTTATCTAAAATTCACACCATCACACCATTCATCATTAAGTGGATTTACTTGGGTATCTCATTCAACATGCAATCAGTAGATAATAATAATAATGATAATTAATAATAATAATATAATACGTCATAGATAATAATTTATTTTTATTGTAAGACCATTTGTTGTCTTGTCAGTGCACTTTGGAGATATATCATGAACATTTTTAAAGGTTTATGTCTTTGCCATGTTCTTTTAGAAATTCCCGGAGGAGGGTTTGGCCAACGTGGTGCGAAACGTCTTTGACTTTGACTCCTACAACAAAGACGCGAGGGAGGTTCTGATCGAGGCGCTGCATAAACACGGGATTCCAATTGGAGCCAAGCCGACGTCCGTCAAACTGGCCAAGGAGTAAGCAACAGGGACACTGACACACAACCCTGACTCACCGAACAAAACTAGACAATGTTTTTATCACACAATTATGTATTTACAAATGGAACAATTTTAACAATTTTTTTTTAGCCTCTTTTTTCATTCTGTACAAATACTTCAAACTGTACACATTTCATAATTAATCATACCTCATCTTTCCCAAGTCGGAAAGTATTTTTTCGATTTACAAGACAAATGGCAACGGCAATATGTACAGTTTTTTGTTTTAATAAAGGAAAATATTTGTTCTCTCTGTCTCCTGTGGTTTTATTATGAATCTTTTGTAAAAATCCACATATCTTCCACAGTAACCCAGGGAGCGAGAAACAAGTATTTTCCTTCCATAATATAATGTTTACTGGGACTCATCTTGAACTGTTTAAAAAGGCTTTGCTGTAACCACATAATTTAGCCACCACCACATCTTTAGCACATAAAAGCAAGTATTTCTGCTTGGTTAAGTTCCATTTTTAGACGTAGAAAAGACAAAACTATTTTACCTAAGTGTCTTTAGTGTTTACCTTCTTAGAAATATTTACGCGTGCATAACTGACCACCCTGAAGACCTCCCATTCACGTCCAGCTCCTTCGGGTTTGCTGTGAAGTTGCATCTTACCACACCTGTAGGCAATAACGCTAGAACCACAAGCCTGCAATGATTCATGGGACATCCAGTTCTATTTTGGTTAAGCCCAACAAGCTCAGATGTATGATACAAAAAAATTCCCATGATGTGGCCCTGGTCTGTTTGACAAAAATGATGAGGTGTTGCTTATCTGTGTTGTCAATGTCAATTTTATTTTCAAAGCACATTTAAAAACAACCAGAAGTGAGTGAAGTGCTGTACAGGCAACATTTTCAATTGACTGAAAAAAACTATCAATATATAAAACAATAATATATAGAATATACTTGAAAAAATGTGTTGATTGTGTGGTGTCGTTCAGTAACCGCTCACTGAAGGAAATCATAGACTAGATAGTAAAGTAATAGCATTATTAATTTGCAGGTTGCCCCTTCCAGAGGTAAAGATGACGGGACACTGGACCATTGGCCAAGGAATCAACTCTCGTCGCAAAATGCTCTGTCCAACTGAGACTCGCCCCATTGACATCAAGGTACCTGAAATACTCAGAACACTAGTTTAGATTAGATTAAATTCGACTTTATGAATCAGAAAATACTCTGCACTGCCTTTTCTCTACCAGGGCCATAGATTTGCAGGCCTACCTTAAGACAAGGCAAGATTATTTATATAGCATGGTTCATACACAAGGCATGTCAAAATGCTGAACAAAACAAGGAAAAACATTAAAATCATACAAGGACATACAGATAATTTCATAATAAATATTCACAGTACAGTGTGCATATAATCTCAATCTGTTGTATGCACATCTGAACGATTTTTAATTGTTATTTCCAGGGCCCTGCTTTTCTGCGTGTTCAAGGATATCCCTGCAACCGACAAGAAAGTCGCGCTTTGAGCTTTACAGAAGAAAAAGCCCACTGGCAGCTTCCCATGAATGAAGTCAACATTATTTGTGATGTTACCTCCAGTGACGGTACACCCTTATCGTTGCACTACTTGTAGCGTTTATAGACATGCTTTTTGGCTCATCGTAGTATTCCTCTTTGCTTATGAGACAGATGTGCTTTATGTGGCGACCTGTAATCCTGTGTCACTGTACTCGATGAAAGAGCAGGGAGACACAATCCACTGCATAGAGCTCTACGACGTGTTCCCCAGGACCATCAGTGGGGTCTGGCAGCCCTTCGTCACTATTGCTCCGCTAGGCAGCCCACTGGATGGACAAGTGGTTCTACATGAAGAACAGGTTAGCACAACATCAATAATTAATTTAAATACGTAGATTTATGTATCTTTGTATCCCAGCAGTTGCACCTTGTTGTTGATAGATATTGGGTAATTAACAGCAGTTTGTCTGCTGGGTGAACCTTTTAACCTTTTCAGACCTTGGGGTCGTGACAGCAATATGCGAGACACAAACTATGAATGTTCACTGTTTGTCTAAAACTGCTGTACAGCTGGTGTATATTAGGCAAGAGGTGCATTTCCAAAAATACCTTGTGATGGATCATGTTACATTGGCACCAAAATGAAGGGAAAATGAAAAGGTCCAGACAATGCAAGTTCATTCAGAGTTCAGAGCCTTTGAGGGAAATTTCTGAATGCAAGGCTGTTGTATTTATAGTGGTTTAAGATGATTCCATTGGTTTAAATTGTAGGGACTCTTTTTGTAAACATCAGTTGTCATGCAGTTGTCATGCAGTAGACACGTGTCCTGACACATGTGCTGTACTCCGCCTATGCTAGTTTATGTTTAGGATCAGGAAATGGGGTTTGCCTTCTGCGAATAGTTTAAGTGGTAGGCAGTACAGGCACTAGTGTGTATGTCAGGAATGAGAGGCCATAAGGAAACCATTAGAGCTAAGGAGGGCAGCCGGGGCCGAGGCTAGCTCCCCTGTGGCTCTTTGTCATAAACCACGATCAGAGATTAAGCTTTGTGCGTCACAAGAGTCTTAAAATCCTCTAATTTTTCTTTCTTAACAAATGAAATGTTGCATACAAAGTAGTTTAATAAAAACTTTTTATAGTTTTTTGACTATTAATGCTACTTAATGTGTAGTGAAAAAGCAATATGTTTTTTTTTCTGAACTACGCATCCACAACTGATCATTTATATAGAGCTACATTTTTGTCAAATTTATTATAAAGAAATATGGATTCTATCTTTCTTTTGTACAATGCCAAATCTTGAGACGCCTTTTGCTTTTTTCTTTGCAGAGCAACACGGTTCTTCATGTGGACATGGTGACAGGTGCAGTGCGAAGACTTCTCTTGTCTGCAGAAGGCGAGCAGCCTAGTGCCAGAGCCTCCCACTGGTGGAGCAGCAGTAAAGAGCAACAGGTTAGTGTTGTTATTCTTGAAACAAAAGTACATTGTCTAATACTTTAAAATGAAGATGACTTAACTGTTTTCATATTTTAGGGGGTGAATAAAATGTGCTGCGAATTTGCCCATAAAAACTGGCTTATGTTTTACAAGGAGGATGGGTAGGAAACACAAGCATCTCTTTTGCATCCCTAAATTCTTTGCTTTCTAGATGTATGTGACACTGAAGTGTTTGTGATTGCAGTAACCAGCTGGATGTGCTGGACGTACTGGAGGGCCGCTTGCATTCCATCTCACTTCCGATCAACCTCAAGTCAGTTTACCTGGTGGCGGAGGATCGCTGGTTACTTTTAGAGAGCAACACCAACAAGTGAGGCATAAATGCAAGTGTCAACTGGAATATGAGCGCATTTATGTCATACTTTTTATCCTTAACAGAAAGTTTCTTCTGACTAAGCCCATGCACACAGCAGCTGAAGACTCAGGCGTGTGTCAGCTCCACAGCATCAGCGAGGATTCAGTAAATGCTGGTCATGGAGCCAGCTCTGGTAAACATGGCATATTGTTGTTCATGCTTACAATAATGTCATTGTATCAACCTTATATTACTGTGATCTATTTAATGATTTATGTTTTGTTTCATTCTAATAATTCTAGCGGAAGTCATCACACCCCAAATGCTTTCAAATGAGCAACTGCCCAATGAAAATCTCAGCTCAGCTCTTGGCCAGAAGATTATTTCGCCCAATCGTTTACTGGCTGACACGGGCTCATTTGCTCGGATCATTGTAGGATTCCCTGATTTGATGGTAAGTATCTTATTCTAGATGTGCTTGAAAGTTTACACACCAGATATTGGAGATTATATGATAACATATAAACTTGATGGTGTGATATATTCTCAAATAATATTAATTTTAATTTAATTATGACATCATTGATCCAATCTTGGAAAATCTTAAATGTGCAGTTCATAAAAGGCTGCCCAGGAATTTATACAAGTAGAAAGCTTTTTTCCAAAAACAATGACAACTACCACTAAAGACTCCAGGCTGTCCTAGATGTTAAGAGATAATACATAGTATCGGGAAATACAATAATATAATTTGAAAATGTTTGTCGATTAATAGAAACCACTAACAATCACTTAAAAAACATTTTTACATTAGCGTTTTTTTTTCTTCCTGGGTGTGTAAACTTTCAAGGACAACTGTATTGTGTAATCATAGCTTTTTCTTATTTTTTTATGTTTCTCTCCTAGTCCCCAAATGAGGTGTACAGCTTTAACAGGCTCACAGACCTGTCTGTGTTAAAGAGCAGTGGTGATGGGGGTGGTAACACCTTTTTCAAAGGAGGGCTTCGCTCCAGTTCTCCTAAAAGGAACAACTGTGTCAGCCTGCTCTCACATAATCAAGTGGTCCGTGCACTACCACCGAACAAGGTCCCCCTGAAAGAAATATTCCCCAAAGGTTGTTATTTAGTTAAATCACATCACTTACATTTAATGGCATATTTTGGTTACACTTGTGTCCTTTTTTCAGATGTCACTCCACCACTGACTGCTGCTTATTTGGAAGTTACTGACTTGAACTCGAAAAAATTGAAGTACATTCCAGTGCCTAGGTAAAAACATGTCTGACATCAATATCGTCTGGTGAAGGACAATAGCACAGCCTAGTGGAGCAAGAAATAACTGCTTCATTCATTTCCACATAAATATTTAGTACTAACAAAAAATAGCTGGTTTGTAGACCATGGTTATTTTTTCTTTCTTTATTTCTTTAGATTTGTATTAACCTGTGAAACTGTGTAGCTGCAGCAAATATTATAATTGTTTTCATCTGTACGGCTTACAATAGTAAAAGGTCTCTGTACCTTAGGCCCAAGGCAGCTTTTCTTTCCGTCAATGTTTCATGCAAGCTTCTTTCTCTAAAGTTGCTATTTACACCTTCTCACAGGTGACGGGTTCAAACTCCTCACTGTAACTTTATGAACGAGGTTGGCCTTCACTGTTCATTAGAGAAGGACACCATTGTAGTTCAGAACTAATTGCAAACTATGTGGTTATCTTACATGTTAAATCCATAAGAATCTCTGACTACACAATAGTGTGTTCGTTCAAGAACTGAATTACAAAAAATATATATATATATTTTGTATTCTTTTGTTAATCATGTTTCCCGGGAACAGGTCCGCGTCCGTGTCTCCGTACACTAACTGGTTGTCTAAAGTGTCTGAGTCGGATGTGCTGCTGGCCTCTCTGGCGTCTGGAGGGGTCTTCACTGTGGACATGGGGGGATACGTGCGCCTCTGGGAGACCGGGTTTGACACTCTGCAGCGATCTCTGATGGAATGGAGGAATATGATTGGATCGGAGGACGGGCGACCGTTGCAGGTAAACTCAATTCTACTATATTCTTTTGTAACAATTAACATTTACCATAAATGTTGTTTAAAAACAGAAAGTAGAATGCTCTTAGAATTCTTGCACCACTCTGTCTTTATACATTTCTCAAATGCAGAGAAATTCATGTATTAGGTTTTTCAAATCTAACTGAGAAAACGTAACATGAGGGGATAACTGTCCATTTTACCTGTTTTTTATTTATTTTCAAGAAGAAGAACCACACACAAATGTACACAGAGGTGCAGGACCACGAATTAATCAATCTAGATTAACATTAAAAGGGACTGTTTTTTCTTTTATCTTGGCCTAGCTTTGATAGGTTGTGATGCATATATAGACCAGCAGGTGTCAGCATTATGTTTTACTGTTGATCGTATCTGGACTGCAACAAGTCTGTAGTCCCACATGTAATGACCCTGCGTCCTACAGTAGAGACTTTGAATGGAAAAGCTTTGAGAAGATGACGTGACTTGTGCAAAGGGCAGGACTTTCAGTCCAGAATAGTGGAAACTGAGACACTATTGTTGAGGCGCCCACATTCGTACCACAATCAGCCAAGTTCTTTGGATTTAACCTTCGAAAGGGAACATCTTATCAGGGCATCTAAAGATAGGAAAAAACTCAACATGCAACATCGTAAGAAGGAAACAAAGGGACTGCAACATTTAGTTTTTTCTTGATAACAGGCACATTGATCCTTGAGTCTTTTAATTATTATTATTATTTATTTATTTATTTGTTTCAATTGTGGACAAAAACAATACTACACATATTACAGTTACATTTCAAATAATTGTCGTCTTGTCTCACAAATGAAAAGGAGCAAAAAGAAAAAATCTTATTATATATTAAATAATAAATAATATTATTAAATTCATTAAGACTCAACAATATGTGTTAATTCTCCCCACACCTGCAAATAATGCTGCAGCCATTTTTTCTGACCTAGATTCCTCAGTAGTGTCTCTTCTTTGATGGGGCTCCTTGAGTGCACTGTGGGTCAGTCTGAGACAGAGTCTCCCTGTGCTCCCAGTGTTGGCTCCCGTCAAATAACACTGACCCCACTGTATAAGAAAGTATATAGCACCATCATATAAGGTACTCTATGCACTATTAACTGTATGTAACTTTTCCACATCATGACTGTGGCTGCTGTTAAGAGTTACTGCTTAAAACAAGCTACAGTATTTTTTTCTTTTATTTTTTTTTAAGGAAAAAAGTTTTTTTTCCTGACAAAGAAAAAACATCTTACTAAATATGTTTACTGTGCACCTATAGTACGCTCAAATAATTTATTTGTGCAAGGTTTGAACGTACTTACACATATTTACAGAGAAACTTTGTCATGTTTTGTTTATTGAGGGAAGTTAAAATATCAAACAGCTCAGCTATTCTTCTCAGATTTAGACATTTATGTTCACAGACTTTGCATGCAGTTACTTGCTGTGGCATTCAAAAGCTCTCTTCATCCATCACTGTCCTCAGTGTGAAATTGTTCCATTACAGCAGTGTTGACATGATCATGATCCACTCAGAGCCATGTGGACAGCAGGCATCAGTCTTCACTAATGAGAGCCTAGACATACTGTTTTACTTTGTCTTGTCACCATATCCACTCCGCTCACATCTCCAAAATGACACCCGAGTATTTATTCTTCATTCATTTTCACGTACCTTTAAGGTACACTGTTCTCACTCACGCCTTGTGCTTGTCTCCATTGCGATCTCATTTAAAGTAGAGCGCATGTTTATGGTATTCCCACCAACTGATTCTAATAAATAAATGAGTGGAACCATCCACACAGGCAAAAACCTTTCATAACTAGCAGGTGGTGAAGCCTCAGAAAAGGGACACAGTGCACCTAAGTCAGGGAGGACAACAAAGAGTGCATTTACAAATCCCAAGTGAAAACCAAGTTCTCCACGGACTCAAATTTCATTCAATGATAAAGACACATGTAAACACGTACGCTGTAATTGAGGTGGGGAAAACCAGTCCATTCCGAAGAGCCGGATTACACCTAATCTAATGCTGTTGAGCATCTGATCGGAATGAGACCCCGAGCAGTGATGCACACGCAGAGGCAAGGCAAGTTTATTTGTATTGCACAATTCTTACACAGGGCAACTCAAAGTGCTGAACAAAACAAGAGAGAGACAGTCACACAAGGCATTACAATCATAAAGAATCACCGTACAAAAGATAAAATCCCTCAGCTGTATGCACATGTTTGTTTTGTTACGCAAAACAAAAACAAGAATCATGATGCTTTTCACCAAACCAGAATGATTTATGCTGCAGCAGCTGAGCATGTGTGAAAACCGTACTCCCAAAGTAAACTACACGTGTGATTACAGTTGCCGAGTGAAAATATGTGTATTTGTATTTTATTTACAATTACATTTACAATGTTTGAGTAATAAGTGAAAGTTACATGACGCCATTGAAAGCACCCAAAGGTCTGATGCTTGGGGCATTTTTTCTGCAGAGTGCACAGAGACAAGACCAAAACTGATCAGATATGGTTGATATCCCCATTGAATTGAGAGCGGTTTTTGAACATTAATGCTTTATAATTGCACAGTTTATATTATACAACTGAATCAAATATGAGCATATTTTCAGGTATGTACCACACACAGCTTGGTGGCACCTTCATTTGAACATGCAACACTCGATTCTTCTCCTTTATTGATGCAAACATTGAAGTACTCTTGCACAGACTTGTATTGATTCATATGCACACACCCCTAAGTTCACAAGGGGGCAAACGCTGAGGCCTTCGCTCCTAAATCACTCCACATCTGCTGTCGACTTAAAGCCAGAATCACATTTATGAGCGTGTTAATCCTGGAAGACAGTGCGTGGACTTCAGATGAGATAGAGGAGGAACGCCACTGGTCGACCCCACAGAGGATTCTCTAGATCCATTTTCATACGTTACTGAGGCTTCGATAAATGATCAGTGTTTTAATCATTTCTGCAATTCTTCTTCTGTAACCAACTGACCTAATCTCTTTTAATAGTTGGACTAGAAATGTTGATCCGTTATACTGTATTATTTGAAAAAACTTAGTATACACATTTAGGTCTTTCTTCACTTCAAATTTTAATATTTTTGAGAAAGGTTTTTATGTCTTTAACGGTCCATTATGAGATATGAGCTTTTAATGGTTACATGAGATGGTATGACAAACCCTCTACCCTTCACCAAAGCTGGGGGGCTACATAACAGGCAGGGCATTCATAACTTTCCCATAAGTATAGAAACCTACACCGACACAGAATATTCTCACGAGGAAGTAAAGTGCTGGTCACTATTGCACTGAAACCTAAGTTTGGAGCGTTACTCAGTTTTTATTTCCCGGGTATGAGCTAGGAGTTGAGGAGATGCAATATGTGTGTCACCAGTGTTAGCAAAAGCAGGATGACAGAGAGACTTGGTGAAAGCAACTTGAGAGCATCTCTGGTCATAGGGGAGCATGACCATGACATAGTTTGACTTCATATCTACAATCTACTTCCACAATCTTTATCTTGAGTAAGATTATCACATGGCTGCAGTAACTCAACACAAACAAATGTACTGTGTAATGAAGAGTAGTATAGGAATGACAAGTTTTCATGTAGAGTAGGCAAAACTGCAGCATCCTTGGTAATGTCGTACTATGGCATGTTTTCCCTCGTTATAAAGTTACCCTTCTTAGAGAAAAAAAACACCCATTTCATTTAATTAATTCTAAAATAGCAACCCAAAACGCAATTTTAAGTCAAATGGTTAAATATATGAAATAAAAGCAAATCATTGGCTTTCTGTTCTTTTTATATATTTTTTTTTTGTTCCATTCAAACAATATTCAGCAAAATCTACCAAAAAGAACTCACACATTTGTTAAACTCAAAAAAATGAATTAGTCAAATATCCTCAAAATGTAGAACATATTTTAAGAAAAACACTTTAATTCTATTTGTCTTTCCACCAAAGGAGGAGATTTCAATAAATATTATTACCAATAGTGATGATGGAAATGACTGAATTATAGTCTATCTTAAAATGTGATTAATAGCTTGAAAGAAGAACTTTCCTTTGAAGCCTCATTCCCTTCGTCAGGTGTACCTAAATGACCCAGACATTAGTATTAGTGCGTAATGAGAGAGTAGTAGCAGTCAGCCCAGGAGCTGTAACCCTTTTACCTCAGCCCACAGCTATGGCTCTCTTCTGTTACTGGAGTTAACGGGGGGTCATGTATTGGGAACACCACGGGGCAGACAGACCCCTGGGCAGCCTTAGTGCCAGCACAGTAATGCAAAAACTAAATGCATACGTGCTTATCGGATTTACTCCATGGGACACATTGTCTGTTTGTCATTTTAAATTAGCACTGTAGGAATCCTTGAACCACCCCTCCCCCATTACCATCACTTTTTGTCATGCAAGAGGGATGTCCAAAAGAGATTTCCGCTCGCAGTCTACAGCCAACACAGCTGGACTTGGATAAGATGTGACCCTAGAGCAGGACTTGTTACCAGCTGCAATTGTCAAATAGTATTGACTGCAGTTTTGTGGTCTGTATTACAGCGCTGACGATCAGTGCCTGCGCTTTAGAACCTTCATTATTAACTCCCAGCATTACCCTTTGTGTAGTAAACTAAACTAATCTGCTCTGAGAATAGCGCCAGTGGCTTTCTGTGCATGACAGTTAAAGGTGTGGACACAGACCAGCAGCAGTGATATTGTACCAACCTACATTGACTAAGTGCCCATGTGTGATAAGTAAATAAACATGGCCGTTACTGCTGATAAACTCTTTTATCTGTTGGTCACATTTGCGCTCCCCACTTATGAACCATTCTGTATTACTGTAAAAACATAACTTTTGTTTTAGATAACAATTCAGCGAGACAGCGGCATGGATGTCTCTGCCCCAAAGCACGGGAAAGTCGATGCACAGAACGCCCCTCATGTTGGTGGGAACCAGTGGGCTGGCGGCACAGGTGACAAACTGCAAAAGTGCCATCCGCATTGTGTTTGATGTGCGGCAGTCCGTAAAGCATGTATCTCTGTGCAGGTGGCAGGGACACTGCAGGCCTGGGTGGTAAAGGAGGCCCATATCGTCTTGATGCAGGACATAAAGTGTACCAGGTGTCTCAGGCGGAGAAGGATGCTGTGCCAGAGGAAGTTCGGAAAGCGGCTCGTGAAATGGCTGAAAAGGCCTTCAAAGACAGGTGGGAACGCATTGGCATCGGCTAAATCGATACAGATGTTTTTCACTGACAATGATTTCCCACTTACCCAGAAGCAAACTGCCTACGTAATAAAAAACAGGTGTTGTGTGTGGGCTTCTAATACTGTCCATCTGCACCATTTCCGAAGCCAAACTTTCATCTGGCATTCTTTTCTGGTAAAATAGGAAGAAGCAATTATTTGATGCCGCAACAGGCTAAATGCAAGGGTCTATGCTCTCACAATTACCAGAGCGACGGGTGAATAGGGCACCACTGCCCCAAGCTCTGCCATAAAGGAACCCTCTGTGCTTTTTATGTTCAAGCTGTGTGATTTTCACCACTTCTCATTTTCCCAGACTATCCATGGCATCAAGCACTCAGGCTTTCACAAAACATGGTCAACATCTCCAGTTTTATTTTTCCATTTTTGTAACTCTTTAGGCAGATTTCATTCATAAATCTGATATGAAACAGACAAAAGGTGGAGTCCTGAAACTGTATAAGAGATTGAGAGAAAAAAAACAATCATACAAGTAAATAAACGCCCAAAAGGCATTTGATGGGGTTTCCTGGAATTACTTTTACATGGATTCTTTTTTATTTAAACAATATAGTCATGTCCCCAAGCGTCTGTGAGAGTTAATGGATTAAAATGCGACCAGTTTCATTTGGAGCACGGATGACGTCAAGGGTGTCCATTATCATAATATTATCTCTTGCCGTTTACTATAACCATTGAACCGTTCAGCTCATTAGACTTTAGGAAACTCTCAAATTAGGCTATAAATAGGTGAAGGAACCCCAAAATAAATTAAATAAAACATGAGAGAAACACATAGTGAAACATTTGTGGAAAGCCAGGTTGCTGTATAGAAAGTTTCCAGGATTTCTGCTTCTTTGGCAACTCAATAGTTAATATATTACATCATCTCCCATTCATCTTTACCTGTCGTCCACTTGTCCCTTTGTGTTGTGTTAAGCCTTTTCAAAATCTTGCACCTACATGTTTTATCTATGCTCCCAGTCCCAACCTCATAACACTAGAAACAGACTCTTGCTTAGCTTGACTATTTTTATTCCACAGATTGACATTTTCTGTGTGGAAGCATGTACTGCCTTGACTCGGCTTTAGGTCAACATCAATCAAATGATTGCATAAACTCCTGAACCTAGAGGCAAAGACAGAAGTATGTGTGAAGACAAGCTGCCACTGGCTGATCCTACCTCAGAGAAGCACCTGCTGCCTCATAAAAGTGTTCGTTTTAGATGGAGATTGCAATATGTAAAGAAAAAGACTAAAGAAATAGACTCTGACACATTAAAATACTAGTAATATACAGTAAGTCATGATATTACTGAAAAGACTCGCACAAATATTGAATTCCACCTGTATCACCTGCAGAAAGAAGCATCTTAATATTTGATTTGTATTTATGAATTCATTACGGCTGTTCTAAGGTATTACGCTTTGACAATAGTTGCTGTTTGGGCCGTGTGATGAAGGGTGCGGTGTGCTCTTGTTTTTGTGGTTGTTTTGTGTGAAATCTCTGCACATGTCTCCACAAATAGCTCTGCCTCTCCCAGTGTGTTGTCTTTCCTTTCATGCCCCTTTTTCTTCTTTAAGTATCAGTCGAGGAATTTAGAGGAAATTGCTGGGGTCATTGGCCAGTGCGTCCGCTGCCCACGTGCTCTTTCGCACATCCTTACACACAAACACAAACACACTGGTCTGCAGAGGAATGTGTGGGGCCAACTGTACAGCTCTGCCCTGTTCAACCTACATCAACACGCTCCTCTAAACAGGGATTTTTGTCTCTTTAAATTATTAATGAATGGGTAAAATTGTGGTCTAGACTTTCAACTTTCCATACCATAATTAGTTTAGAGTTAGTTATTGATTGAATGAAAACGAAAATCATGCACTACTGTCTCTAATTAATGTATTCATTCATCAAATTACAGTAAATGTTGTGCAAAGCCCTCGTTCACAACAGCAGTTTTCTCTGAGGATTTTGAGGATCAAATTGTCAATTCCACAAGAACAGATTTGAGAATGAAACCATTAGAACGCGCAGCAATATGTCCATAAATGTTCTGGATCATCACTGTCTTAAGACTCTCCTGTATCTGTGAGGAAAGACTGAAAAATCCAGTGGGTTCTGTTCATTTATTATTTCTACAGTCATTGGTCAATAGAATAAAATGAGCAGAACAATTGTACATCCAAAGACTGGATTGGTTAGATTTGCCTAATTCTGAATTCAGAAGAAACTATGTATAAAGATGGTTGCCAAATACCACTCATAATTATGATAATACCTTAGGGACTTAGACAATCATCACTTTGTTTGTTTTATTTGTACGTGTTTGCTTGATGGAGTTAGTCACACCCTGCAGACATAGATTGCATCACTAGGTTGTTTCCTCACTGACCATAAACCCTGCATTGCCCTTTCCATTCACGCTGACTTTTTAAACACACCTTTCCATCCATCCATCCATTTTCTACCCCTTAATCCATTTCTGGGTCGGGGGGGGGGTGGCAGACTGAGCTGCACCTAAGTCACATAGCATCAGCCCTTCACTGATCCACACCTTTGACACACCTTTCCACCCAGTCTTTTTGTTGAGCAGTGTTCGGTGTCTACACAGCAGTCAAATATAGCAGTCATTTAAACACAAACAATGTTTTCCATTAGTGCAAAGTTAGCTTCAGAATGCAGTGCGGGCAATGACCCAATCTGCATTCACGTTTTGAAGCTACTGCTACGCCATCACAGGTACATTTTGATAAGTAGTATAATTTAAATGACTGCAGGCACCTCCTCCATAACTCACCTTTCATCACCGGTCTAATAAACCCACGTTCACACTTTTGACACCGGTCAACTCAACATTTGAACAGGGTCTGAAAACAAGGGTCTGTGGTGTGGAAATGTCTGCTGATACCACTGCAGCCTAAACAATGTACCAGCCTCGTCTAAGCTGTTTGCTACGAGACATGACACATGAAGTGCAATCCTTTTTGAAGTCTTTGTTAAACACGATGCTGCGGTCGTGGTCCAGTTGTTTCTGGAACACCCGGGACAGCGGGCCCCATGTAGCCATCACACAGGTGGGATAGTGGCACACCTGAGATAGATAAGAGGGGGCCCCCAGTATTATCTATATCAGAGAAAGAAAACATTTCCCTCTCTTATGGATATTATGACTTTGTAGTTTTAGATGAGACGTCACTCTGCACCTGTGGCTGTAAATGCCGGTGTGTGGCAGCAGTGTATCGCACCAGTGCCTCTCAACAAGGACTCTGTGTTTGATCCACGGCTCTTTCAACAGCGTTACATTATTACAGTTTATGTACTGGATATCTCTCAAAAGGGCTGCAATTTATCAATTCATTGCAACTAATCGATAATTGAAATAGCTGTCAACTAATTTAGTAATCAATCTTCTTTTTTTGAATCTTCATAGACATAAATAATCTTTTTAATTATTTTTTATCAATCCATCCAATGTGTAACAAGTCTTCTCAATGGAGATGTATTCTCCAGGGCCATCACTTAAAATGTGAACAATCGTTAATTACAGTGATAATCTCAAACTAACAGCAATCTTTTATAAATCGTTGCCGGAACTGTTTATTTAATGATTTATTGTAATTACATGTGTTGTTCTTTCCTTTCTCAGATTAAAAGAGATCAACATGAGTGAATATGATGCCCAAACATACGAGCGCTTCTCTAGTGCTGTCAGACGCCAGGTGCAGTCTCTGCGCATCATACTGGAAAGTTTACAGGTATAAGAGATTTTTCTTTTGACTGAAAGTTTTTAGGTTTAAAAATATAAAATTCTCTGTTCACATTTTATATATTGTGTTCTCCGTAGAATGTCTTCCCTCATTTCCTGGATGTTTTTCCAGTTTTTGTTTTGTATCTCTGGGGACACGTGTTCAATGTGTTTTTGTGTTTGTGTGTTCGTGAGAGAAAAAAAACTACACATAAGAATGATTACAGAGCATGTTTAGAGCTAGGCTCTCATATTCCCTCCCAGGTGTGAAGCCTTCTATGTCGGGGTGTTTTGTTTTCCAGTCCAGGTGTTTGTACCAATGCCACTTTAAGCATGAAAATTTGACATTGTTTGCGTATCACTGGCCCTCAGGGCATTCCTTTATAGTTGACAGTACTCTGACGCCATGTTATTTTTGATCATACCTGAGGAGTGATTTAGGAATCCTCCCACACACACACATACACGCACACACTTATAATCATAGCTGGCGGGCGGTCTGTAACGTCATGGGTATTGTTTCGATCTGCTTTAGTCTAGCCTGAGGGAAAGCCCATTCAATATGTCTTTCAACAATTGCCGGCGTTACTTGATATAAACAGTAGTGTTGGCTTCTATCAGATGTTAGATTGGGAAGTGGCCAGATACGCTGAGGAAGGCATACAGACAGGAAGGACATGACAAAGACTGAATGTGCCTTTGTTAGAAATTATGATTCAACATGTTTCTACGGTATTTTATATTTTATAATCACTGTAGAAACAATGTTTACTGATAAAGTGTGTACCTGATGCTGTAAAGGAGTTGGCAGAATGGATTCTTGTATTTTTCCACTGCTTGGTCACGACCGTACCCATATTTGTTGCCTTTAATAAAGTTGTAAGAAGCAGTCACACTGCAAACAGAAATCCAAACTAATAATTTGTCAGCCATATGAGATACCCCTGCCACACGCCTCGTCTAATGTTCAGTCTACTCTGCACACGTCATTGATGCCTTGGGAAAAGTATACATGACTACAGTTACAAGTGGACATTCTATTTGGTTGCACTTAGAGTGGGTGTGGCTCGGGGCAGCTGAGTTCCCTCTTTTGTCCGCGGTAGTTTCTGTAGTGGGATAGGTTTCCTCTACTTTCCAACATGGACATGGAGAATAAGTGATCTCGTGCTCTCTGAACCTACGGCTCTTTGATGACGGTAACACACATTGTAGTGGAACACATGGACAAAAAGTTTCACTTATTGAAAAAAAGACGCAGTTGAGACATATTGATTTGCTGATTATTAAATACATCCTTTCATATATTCTAACTCTTGTGATTTGGTTTTAGGCAAAAGGCAAAGAGCGGCAATGGCTGAAGAACCAGGCTCTGGGCGAACTGGACGATGCAAAGATCATCGATGGTCTGACAGGAGAGAAGGCTATATATAAACGCAGAGGAGAGCAGGACCCAGAGGTTGTGGCTTTGAACTTGAACTCCTCTTTATATGTTTTTACCCTTTTGCCCTGCCCACAAACACACTACTCCCAGGCGCAACGCATAATTTTAACCTCAACAGTCAGACAGAACATTCCAGTGGTCTTTGGGATTGCCATTTTCTCACACACTTGTGCTTTTTTCTGTCATAGGGGCGTTCATACTATCATACACACACCAAGTATAATATTTACTTTTACTCATTTAAGATGTGAGCACTCTTTGGTCCGAAATGTCAAAGTCCGATGTGTTAAACAGAACTCTCTGTAAATTATGACTTTATTATCTAGTAGCAAACTATTAGTAGTAACTACTGTATACTTGTGTGTTAATTTGTCTTCTAAAGCCTGGAACGCCACAGCAAAAGCCCAAGAGGTTACGCGTGTTAGCAGACGTGTCTGGCAGCATGTATCGCTTCAATGGAGTGGACGGACGGTTAGAGCGATCCATGGAGGCTGTGTGTATGGTCATGGAGGCCCTGGAGAGCTATGAGCACAAGTTCAAGGTAAACATGCCACATATACTTGTAAAGCCTCATCAAATAATGAACTGGGTCACACTACTCTTATGATTCAGACGGTTCCAAAGCAAATAAAAGTATGTGGATGAGACGATTGTTTCTCAAAAGCTAACGGAGACTTCTTGGCCCCTGACACTTAAGCCAATCATGTATCAGTTTCACACTTCTGCATGGAGTGACATTTTCTGAACAAGCCAAACTCCGACTGCATCAAGATAAGCCTTATTAATGACTAATCTTCTGGATGACACATATATCAAATATTTTTTCCTCACACATGTCAAATGTCTTCCCAGCAACAGTGATTTGAGCAGATGACCTACGAAGTTACATACCGTTTACAACCGTAGTCTATTAGAAATAGCCCATATACATAATATGTGTGTCCTGATATAGCTGAGCTCACGGAGCCAGTCTGACACAGTCTGGCTTATGTAAGTGTGGATGGCATGTTGCTCACCGTCTGTAGCACTGGCAAGTTACTCATTCTAAAACTAAATTAAAGTTCACTCATGCATAACCTCAAAATACCCCAAACAAAAAATTCCATAAACACAACATCTGCACATTACTCCCTCACCTCTTTGAGGATTTCAGAACTGTACTGCTGTGAGTATTGTCCCTGTTAAATTGTAAGGTTTTCAGCTTCTGCTCTTTCTTGTTTGCAGTATGACATCATGGGTCACTCTGGGGATGGCTTTGACATTGAGCTCGTCAGAGCTGACAAGGTTCCAAATAATAACAAGGAGAGACTAAAAGTTTTAAAGGTAAAAGCGTCATAATCCTCCAGCACAGTTTCCAACTAAACTAACAATATAATCTTGTCCTCCACAGACGATGCATGCACATGCACAGTTCTGCATGAGTGGAGACCACACTCTGGAAGGGACTGAAGCCAGTATCAAGGAGCTCTCTCGAGAGGAGTCTGACGAGCTCTTTGTGGTGGTTCTGAGTGACGCCAACTTAGAGCGATACGGGATCCGACCTGAGCGCTTTTCAACTGTCCTGACCGCAGACCCTCAGGTCAACGCTTTCGCGATCTTTATTGGGTCTCTGGGCGACCAGGCAGAAAGGTGAGAAACTGTTGATGTAGAAACTACTGGTATTAACTGAATGTTTTTCAGTTAATAAAACACACAATATTGCTAATTACCTATTTTTGAAATGGTACTCTTTAATTATTTGGATCCAAGGACAGAGGAAGAGAGAGATTTTATTCATATAGCAGATTTCATACAAGACTACAACTAAGTTGCCTGTTAATGTTCTTAGTGTTTGAAAGGCGTCACAAGCTCAAGAGTGTGAGAATGAGTCATTCTGAAGTTCTGTTACATCTAAACTTGAGACGCATAACTTCAAGATGAACACACGTGGAAAGAAGTTCCTGAACAACATCCTTAGATACAGAGCGTTACATAATACATGCCAGAAGCTTCTGATGTTAATGACTTGATTAAATTGTACTTAAGGAAGACTGAAAAATGAATCACTCTTTTGTCTTTAGACTGCAGAAGACCCTCCCCGCTGGCAGATCCTTTGTCGCCATGGACACGAAGCAGATCCCCCAAATCCTGCAGCAGATCTTCACTTCCACAATGCTGTCCAGCGCCTGACACAAAGAGACACTTGTCCTCTCAACAACTCCAGTATTGTTACGTCGTGCCCTTAACCCTTTTCTGTGCCATATTATGTAACACTCTCTAGTGTTATCAGGTCCACAGAGAAGTGCCAGTTTTTTGCTTTTCTCTCACATTATCTGCTGTTTGGTAATGTCTCTGAGTGGCAGTGGTTCTCAAACTGAGCTATGTGTACACCATTGAAAATTACAGTTTGAACTAGTCAAATCTACTTAGATTAAGTCAAATTCATTGCCTATTAATTGGACATGCTTCTATCACATTTTAGGCAAAATGTTTCGGTTCAGTGGTGTTTCTGAATCAAGTTGCGAAAGTTTTTGCTTGAAGGATTTTGTACTTCTGGGTGGATCATCAAGACTTGGTCCTCCCAATTATCAATTATTCTGGTGAAAGGTGCTCGTCAAATGAGTTCGTGAAAAGAGTTAGTTGATTTTTACCAATTTGAACTAGACTTTTGCAGTTTTAATATTTTTTATGGAATTATATTAATTTGTGCTGTTTATAGAGTTATTTCAAATTAATTTCCCTCAGGGGACAATAAAGGTCTATCTATCTTATTTGAAATATTAAAAGACGGGGGTAAAAAATAATACTGACAATCTTGTACAAATCTTGAGAACCACTGTTTTAGGGACCAGCTCTGAAGAATGAAATGGTCTTGTACTGGAGCCTATACACAATGTGGCCATCATCAGATGTGGCGTTGTAGACTGTATTTAGCACTTGTGCTCGGATCAAGGACATATCCTGGAGGGAACCAGCTGTGAACCTGTCAGACCTGGACATATTTGGACTTCCTGCTTGTTTATTGCCTGTCAAGCCAAAGTGCACAGACTAGAGGTGAGAGGTGACTCGGACACTTCGGCATGCAGAAAGAACATTCAACCTGGCGGGTCTTTCAAGTGTCCCGCCAGGCCGTACCCCCCACCGTGTCTAAGCTTGCACGTGAAGAGGGGTCTCCTGCCTTTTGCATCACTCAACATCCTTCCAAGCGCTGAGGCCGAGTGACACCTCTGAAAATCCTGCAGGGGAATCTCCGATCAATTTTCACAACCACTTTTGAAATCACCTTTGACACAACCATGCAATTATAGACTTAAAGCTGGGGTACCAAACGTTTCCCCCCCAATTGACAATACATTTTTCTTACTTATGAGAGAGTCTGTTTTTCACTGATGCATGTAGTGAAGATTAGAGATCGAACCAAATTGATTTGAGAGCAAAAGAGCTAGAGCTTGATGGATTTAATGACAGTTACATAGCCTACCCCAGCTTTATCACTGCAGAAAGTGATGAAAAATAAGTCTCAAATGACTCAAATTTGGCTAAATGTATCTTAATTTAAGCACATTTTCACTGCCTTAAAACCAGCTTTGCCAATGGGACAATCAAACCTATCTTGTTTTAAAAAGATACAAGAAATGTCTCCCTTGGAATGAGAAAATATAGCAGTAGTTCCAATGGGACAAAGCCATTTAGTCTGATTCAAATAAGACTAAATGGCTCTGTCCCATTGGCAAAAAATGTTTTAAGACAGTCAGAATGTACATTTAGATTATTATTTTTTTCAAATGATAAAAAATAAACACTTGATTTTAGAATATATTACCTCATATTTTATCATTTTTTGCTTTGTGGCTGAAAAAAATGAACATTTTAATGATTCAATTTTAATTCACTAATTTCATTCAATCTGAGTCACATTGAAGGACATGTGTTTTATTTACTGGAGTAATACTTATCACATATGTACATAACCTGTAAAATACTGGATACAATTCAATGTCTATAACAGACCATAGAGTTAAAAATGCATATTTATTTGCCTTTCTGAAACTGCATTGTGGTCATTGTAATTTTTTATGTGATTAAATTAGATCTAACTATGTCTATTAAGTATTTCTTCAAGTTCTTTCAGTTGCTCATCTTTTCTATTTTCCCTTTGCCATCAATCTTGCAACCATATAAATCTAACCAGACCAAAAGATGTTTCCAAAAGACATCCTGTTTCCCATTACATAACAAACACTATTATTTTCTCCATCATTAAATCCATTGGAAATATATATTGGCCAGTTTGAAAGTGTTGCCGATTTTCATACAGAATTGCCTTTGACATCAAGTATTTGAACGAGTTGTTAATCCATCCCACAAGTCTGGCCGAAGGAAACGTGGCAATTATGTCGTTTCCTCATAGATTTTCTCTGGACATTATTGACTCAGTGTGGATTTAGTGAGAAGATATGGCTCATAAAGTGACCTTGAACACAGCCCGCTACACCTGGCCTCTCATTCAGAAGAGTTATGTACAACAGCCAGATAAGACGTCTAGACTAAGAGTGTATGTTCTAGCGTGAGTCATAGCTGGAGTGTGGTCTCCCCCTCCTCAAATGGTTTAGTCATTGTGGTTTTGGAAATGGCAACAGGACATCTCAGTGCTGATATATTTTAAAAGGGCTGATGTCATTGGAAAGTGGTCTAATGTGTTGTGTCTGCATTCTATACGTAAAAGCATGCATTTGTATCAGATTCAGATTCAGATTCATTTATTTGCCATTTGCAGTAAAACCACATTGGAAAAACTGTGCAAGACTACCCCGGTGTGCACACACCAGAGCTCTTGCCACGGCGCCATCTTTACGGCGCCATGCGTTCTAGTTCTAGTTTCAAGCCTGAAACATTGGATTACATTAAATTATCGTCATGACCATACAACAGCATACAGCATTTTGCTTTAATATGGCATTATATAATCAATGTGTACACCCAGCCACTACCTAAATAAGAACTGGATTCAGCTTATGAATGATAATTAATACTGTATAATTTACTAATATTATTGAATAGCATCGAGTAATACCATAAAGCTAAAGGAAAATATGAACAAAAGAACTCACACATAGTCACAACAGATTCTGGAATGAATCAATCAATAGATATAATTAATTATTAAGATTTTGACATGTGTATCGGTTAAGCAACTAATGTCAATAAAGCTGCCAGTTTGACAATTTAATTTTAAGCTAGATTATAATGTAAACTCTTGTGTCTTATTTTCAGTGGATTGCATTTTGGGCACTTGTATATTACCTTCTTAAATCAAAGGCGTTTTATTCAAGAAGTATAACTTATTTTGATTTGACTTGCAGTGTAGTATTTGCATATAAATGTTGCCCAAAAACGCATTCAAGATCATCCCGGAACACACATTTTGAGTCTTGACCCAGTTGAAAAATGGTTTTATGTCTATTTGTGGTTTTATGTCAATTTGCAAATCCTGTTCTGACCCATAAAGTTGGAAATGACACTAAAAGAAGAGTTTTTCTGATGACCCAGGCAGGATTTGATGGATTTATAGTTGGCTGGGGGCTGTGTCAGTTGCCCCCTCTGACCTGCAATGACCCATCACTCACTGTAATTGATCACTAACGTCACGTCGAGCCGATGCTTCAGAACTAGGGCACCAAAGCGATTGTCCCTGTGTAAACAAGATGGATCTGGCCCTGACACTTCCTCTCAGGCCAAAAATGTGCACCGCAGTTCAGGAATGTGACTTATTTGACTGTTTATTTAGAGATGTGGTTGGTGGATTTAAAAAGCTCCTCGCGTGTGTGTAGCGTGTGTCTAGCGTGTGTGACTTTACGAGTGGAGAAAGTGTGCCTGCCTTTGGTGTTATCAGTCCCTTTAGTGTATCCCAGGATTTCTTCTTCTCTAGCTGCTCTCTCTGTCATACTGCTGCTCCCCTTTGGCATTGAACGTTACCATGGAGACAAACAGGTGTTTCTCAATACTGTCTCATACTCACATGTATTTCAATTGTTTTTTTTATATCCAATAAGCTCCATAAAAATCTTAATAATATGCAAATTACTGGTACTGCAATTGCTACTTATAAAAGTAGCCTATTGAGTTAAAGTATAGTATTCACAGGTCTTCGTTCTGTAGCTTAGGTCCTGGCTCTGTAGGCCGTCCGTTCGTGTGGAGCGGATCCCTCTCTTAATATGGACCTCCCCGAGATTTCTCACTTTTCTCCCACTGGGTTTTCCAGTTTTTTCTTGCCGATGCAGGAGCGTGACTAGTGTCTAACAAGAAGGACCGTGGTGATGATCCAGGACACTCTAACATTCTACAACATTTGTGGATATTTATCAACATTCATGGACATTCGTCAACTATGGACATATACCTATGTGTTCTATATTTTTGTGTTTGAACTTTCTAATTCTCTAATCTGTGTTGGCAAACTCTGAGATAACTACTGTTGTGATTTAGGGCAGAATACAATTCAATATATTTTTTTAAAGCCCTGAATCACAACAATAGTTATGTATCTTAAGGGATATAGATATTATATTTATATTTTTCCAACCAAAAACTGTACATAGCAAATGTACAGGTCCCATCTTGACTCTTAAGGTCAGTGGATTGACAGTTTGATAGGTTTGTACAAACTCATGTTGCAACTCGTCTGTTTGGAGCCTGTTCTGTGGTTTCAGTGCTGACGACAGGTTTGACCCTTTGTGTCTAAAATACAGTGGATGTAAGATTTGATTCAAATAACATCCCAGTTTGGCTGTTCTTTTTTAGAGTTATCATTTCACTTCCTAGTTATAGGCACAATGACATCATGTTAGAGATGTTAGCAACAACTTTGGCTCCTGCTCTGGCTCCTGCTCTGGCTCCTGCCCTGGCTCCTGCCCTGGCTCCTGCCCTGGCTCCTGCCCTGGCTCTTGCCCTGGCTCCTGCCCTGGCTCCTGCCCTGGCTCCTGCCCAGGCTCCTGCCCTGGCTCCTGCCCTGGCTCCTGCCCTGGCTCCTGCCCAGGCTCCTGCCCTGGCTCCTGCCCTGGCTCCTGCCCTGGCTCCTGCTCTGGCTCCTGCCCTGGTTCCTGCTCTGGCTCCTGCCCAGGCTCCTGCCCTGGTTCCTGCTCTGGCTCCTGCCCTGGCTCCTGCTCTGGCTCCTGCCCTGGTTCCTGCTC